TATTTTTCTGGTGGCACTACTGCCAGTCGCGAGGCCGTCAGTGACCGGTTCCCAAATGTCCGCCGTTGATGCCATGTTTGCCAAGTGATGTATGGCTCACCCGGCGTTGCCATTGTGTCTTCACAACTGCTGCTGATAGTCCTCTGGTGCGAGCTGGACGTACAGCACTGCCCCCTATACTAAATCACTGCGAACTGGACAGCACTGTCCCCTATACTAAATCACTCGTAGTTGGTATTCACGTTCAGCGTGGCTGATCGCGCTTAAACTGTAACACAAGTGTGTGTTTACAGATTAGCCGTGCACCGACCAGGTATTGTTTCACTGTAGTGCGACCGCCAAAGCGTCGCATTCTTTGCACGTGCAGGGAAAGAGCACGCGTTGGCCGCCGGACGCGTGCTTCATAGTTTGTTCTAAGTGTAGGTGCATTTGTAGATCCTCGACGTACTGGCTCACACTCGCACTGAGACACTTGCTAAATCTGGCAGTTAAAAGTAAAGCAGTAAGCATAACAAAGTTTTTTTTTTTTTGAATGACTGGTTACGTTTGTCCATAGGTCGTAACTGGCGTTTGCTCTAGGAGCTCTTGCGTTACTTGCGCACTCCAGGAGCTCTTGCGTTACCTTATTGCGTAGATATAGACATAATCCATGTTTGTAAACAGTGGCAGGCTCCGCCCGGCCCAATGCTCACCACCATCCTCTATCAACACGTGATAACTGGAACAGCAGCTGGAAAACTTCTTCCGAGCAAGACGCGTCGGGAAGCCTCTTGTAGCGACGTCGCGAGAGGCTCCCCGAGACGCTGTGCTCGGAGGCAGCTTTACAGCTGCTTTGCCAATTGTCACGTGATCATAGAGGGCGGTGGCGAGCTTTGGGCTGGGTGGAGTCTGACGTCGCTACAAGGCGCCTCAGTATGGCGACGTCGCTTACTGTTGTTTACAAACATTGATTATAATGGTGCTTGTTCGTGTTGCTGTCCTCGGATATGTACTCCTCTTGACCTATTATCTTGTTATTCTGCTTTCATCCTGTGGTGCTCCTTTCTGGGCTGCAATGTATCACCAGAGTCCTTCAACGGTATTAAGGGACTCTGGTATCACGCTACTTTTCATTTTCCTGAAAATATCCCCCTCCCCCCATTCACTCCTCGTACAGGAGCGCCCCATGGATCAACCCTCCCATCGCACAACGAATGAAAAGTTGCAGAAGATTTATAAGCGTATTCTCATGAGATGAGAACTCGAAAGTGTTTCTTCTAAGTGCGGAGCACTTTAAGAGGGTGGGTCAGGCTGTCGTGTGTTGTCGTACGGTCTTTCGGCGTAACGTTCGTATCATATTGAGCGCACTCACACGAGATGCCCCCTTCAAGCGCCTTTATGATGATCACTTATCACCGTCAGGAAACAACTAGTGCGCTTGGCGTAACGCAGGAAAGCCACGAAAACAAAAAAGGAAGCAAGCGCAAAATATATGAAGAGAGAAAGAAAAAAAATGGAAAGAAAAATAGAAAGAGTAAGAAAGAGAAAGCAGATAAAAGAGGAAGAAGTGAATAGAAATAAGGAGAGGGAAAAAAATTGCCCGCAGCTTCCCTCGGGGGTACACTGAGGAGGATGCGGAGCATATAATTGGTTAACGGGGTGTTAAAGTGCGACTTACTTGGGTCGATGGCTAAATTGGTTAACGTGGTTGTGAAATGGGGTGTTAAATTGCGACTTACTTGGGTCGATGGCTAAATTGGTTAACGTGGTTGTAGGAGGGGTGTTAAATGAGTGAACACGTACACACGTATGCGAAAGGGCGGCGCTGGTCGAAGGGACGTCGATCATTGTGTTTGTGGATTCGTTGGAATTCATTTCACCGCGACCTTGGACGTCGACGCGCCGTACAAACCAACCGACGAGCGGCAACTGAGCGAGCGAGCGCCGACCTTGAGTATATATACAGCGCGACGGCGCATGCACTGTCAGCTGTCGAATGTTCGAGAAGGGGGAGAAGCGCAACGGCGCATGCGCGCGCGTCAGCTGCCGATGTTCTCGAAGCGCGACGGCGCATGCGCGCGCGTCAGCTAAAGGGAGGAAAGGAGGAAAAAGGCATGGGGGGGAGGAAAAAACGAAGAAATGGGTTGCGCCCCTGAGGAGCCAACCAATCTGCTGCCAACCTCCACGCTTCCCTCAGACTTGGCACTCCTGGTGCACAAGCACGAAATTTTATATATATATATCTAGATAATATATATATATATATATATATATATAATATATATATATAATATAATTTATATATATATATATATATTATATATGATTAATATATATATATCTATACTATATCCATGATGCTAGTGTTAAGAGTAGAACTGCGAAACGGTTTTGTTCAGTCTGAATCGTTTGCTCTTGGTGCGTGCGATGTGCCAGGATGTTGGCGGGAAGTCGAGCCACGCCCTGCATAGTTACTTTTTTTTCTCTGCAAGATTCGCGGCTTTCCGATCACTTCGTCTACGGGTCTCTGGAGCGCGGGAATGTTTCCCCCAATATTCTCAGTCTGGGTTGTTCATTATGAGATACCAATTTACGCTGTGGCCAAATTTCATGTCAACTTCCCTCCCAATCCTGATCGAGTCCGAAAGAAAAGCTTCGTAATGAATGCAAAAATGTAAAATGACATCAAGCCACAACGTGTAGCGGTTATTGTTCAATTTTGTCAAGCGAATACACATGCTAACGCACGCACGAATATACATAAACATAGTTGAACCTCCTTTTCCCCTCTCCCCCAAAAGAATTTCTGGCTACTCAATAAAGTATGCCAGGCAGACGAATATTGTAGTTGTATAGAAGAAATTCGCCCCAAACACTCAATTTTCTCGCCAGTAGAGTCTTAACTTGCCCCTTCTAAGATGGCGGCTACCACTTAGGGTGGGGGCGGCTTCACTCTTAAGGCAAAGGCTTTACTCTAGGTGTTCACAAACGTCGTCACCGGAAAGAAGGAAGCCCCACCTTCGCCCCCTTTGCCATGTGGAGCATGCCCTTCGCTCTTCTCCGTTTCCGTGGTTTCTACCGCGGCCTGCAACAAACCGGCCCTCCTTGTTTCCTTCCTGTTCTTTGACACGTAAAATGAGTTGACTGAGGGTATATTACCGATTTGTGTGGCGCATGTAGCACTTCAAGTAGGCGAGATGTGTTTACCAAGAAGCCGACTTGTTGACATGCGCAATCAGTGCAATCCTCTCCTGCTCACGTGGTACTCGCCTTTCCTCGGATGTCGAGATTGCCGCCCACATTTAAAGCACATCAACGGAAGGTGAGCGACAGGCAACCTAATGCGGCTGACAAATCCTTTCCTAACGTGTCCGACGCACTTTTAGAAGGTGATCTGGCACTTGACGTTTTCAAAACCGCTTGCTTTCTTCGCCACCGATTGATGCGACATCGAGAAGCTTTCGTTTTGCAGCGTAGTAAATGTAGAACCGGTTTCGCGTTGTGCGTTATCTATATTACGCGGAAAGTTGCGCGGACGTCTAATGCGAGAAAGCTCCCGCCCCCGTTACCAGGCGAATTTACCGTCCGCGTGAAAGCCGTTTTCAGCTTGAGTTAGCGCGATGGAAAAAGATACATTTTGAATGTCTTGAAAGGAGCATGCGTCTGATATCTGTTGCGACCTTGTTAAATGCGTGAATTGTTTTTTTTTTTTTTTTTGACGCTCTGTTTTAAGTGCAGCTTGGCACACTCGCGAATGTTATGAAACAGCCGGTTTATGTTTTATTACTTGTTTACGCGCTGCAGTTTTCTTTTTTTGTTTTGTCTCTCGTCTACGGAGTCATGACCGCAGGGCGACTTTGCCGCAGCGCATCTGGCTCTGCCAGAGGCATCTGGCTTTTCGCTTTTGGGAACATACTTAAGTGCAGTTTTATTTATTCAGTGTTTTATGTTTTCTTGAGGGGGGGGGAGGGAGCTGGTATCTCCCAAAGCTGCTCCCCACGTGAGGGGAAAGGTCAGCTTTATCGCGTGTGTGCTTTTGGCACCGTGAAGACTCGCTGACTCTGAAGCCACATAGGGTATAGCCTCTCAGACATCGTGCGTGCCGATACGTGGGAACGCCCAAGTACAGCGCCGACTCAACTACCGAGCAACTCGTTCTTTCGATTCTTGGTAGCGCCGACGTCTATTTCGTGTGCGAGTTGTTACTAACGCTTGCCTGGATACTTCACCCTTCACAGTTACTTGACATGTATGAACATACGTAGAAAATTCTACATACGTAGGCAAGAACGTCGTGACAACACGCGTGTGGTCGTTAGTTGTTGGGTAGAATTACGATTCGTAAGAACCAGAGTGTGCTTCCTTCTTTCTCTTGTTCTTTCATTGCCAAATATCTGAGAAATGTCTTTTCCTCGTTGTTTGCCTCTTAAAGTCTTGCAAAAGTTAGGGGATCCCTGATAATAAATTCTGATTAAAACAGGTGTCTAGAACCCAACAGGTTGGCGAGTATACTACTGAGTATTGCCTGGTGCAGGCCCATTTTCAGTTGACATGTAAGTTAGGCAACGAAGGCGAAGAGGGTTGTAGTTGCGGTGCCGAATAGAGGTTTATCAACTAAGGTATATAGGGAAAATTAAAGGTGGATGAAAAGATAATTCGTGTTATGAATTATGCAGTGCTGTGTTCTGTTCGCTGTGGGTTAAACAAGGCACTGTGTTTGTCTTATTTTCTTTCTGTTCAGTTAATTTTGCACTGTTCATGTACACACAAGATTTTCTGTCTAGCTTAGCTTGGTGCACAGAAAACATACCACAAATGTAAAAGTTGTGATAGTGTCCTTTCGTTGCATCTGCTCTGTGCTGTTCACCAAGAGAACTATTCTGGATTTGGTATGCACATAAAATTCTATGAACTTCGAAGTTGCAATAGTGTCCACAGTTCTTTTTCAGCATGTATGTGTCTACACAGCTAGTCCATTGGTGTAACATTGTATTGAAGAGCTACCATCCTTCTACTTGTAGAGACACTGAAGCAGAGGACGGAAGTGCTGAAGAAAGTGAGCAGCTAGTAGTAGAGACCATCTGCAGCCGCGGCTCGGCATCTAGTGAAGCCATGATAAAAGAGGACAAGGTTGAGCTGACCAACATCTACGGGGCATATGGTCCGTTCCAACGAATCGTGTTCCTCTTTGCCGTCACGATCAGCATGTTTGGCGCATACCACAACCTCATCATCACGGCCGTGGCACCCAAATTGACCACTGGTGCGCAAAGCCCGAGGCCTTTGAGAACATGACCGACGACGAGTGGAAGCAGCTGGCCATTCCCAAGGAAATGAGGCAAGGGCAAGAGCGCTACAGTCAGTGCGAGGAGTACGATTTCGAAACCAATACCACGGTGAAGTGCAACTCCTGGGAGTACGACCACAGTCACTACAAGCGCACCGTTGTCGATCAGGTGAGCGTCTTGCTTGCACAAGCAGAAAGCAAACTGGCAGAAGGAAGCAATGTAATGTTTATACAGTGATGAAGAAAGAGATGTGCTGGCTGGAAAATAAACTTTCCAGTACAGCAAAAGATGAGTCCGTCTCGACCAGAGTAATGAAATTGCTGCAGTGCATTGGTGATAAGTTAATAGCAGTTGGTGATAAGTTAATAGCAGTAATAACACTGTTTCTGCTCTTCATTCAAGGATAATTTTGATGTTCATATTGCCGTTATGGAAATTTTTCATGTTTTTGACAGCAGGCTGAGGTACCTAACACAAGATCAAAAGATTCTTGCACTGATTGTAGTAATAACTAGTACTGTAGTAAATAACTGCCAAGCTCCCTGTAACACACCATGCAACACCCTTGCATGCTGCATCACTGCATGCCCAAAATTTTAGGGCCACATAGTTTTCAAGCAAGAAAATGCGAGTAAGCCACATGACGGTACAGTTGTGTGACAAAAATGTCTCCTAAAGGAGATGTCACAGTTTTTAGATTGTTCGAAAAGTTGTGAACATTGTTATCCACCTTTGCCGTGTGTAATGCACAAGTTTCTTACAGTTGCATTCATCTACACGTTTGTTTCTCCCTCTTGTCAACAGCATAAAATATGTCACATTATTTCCTCAGAAAGGCATGTTGTTAATAATTATAGTTTTGCAGTATTTAGGCCCACTTTCAGCACTTCTAGCATGAGTTTAACAGCAGGTCATGTCACCTGCTGTGAATTAGTGGATGAATAGATGTTTGCTTCTTTTTGTTTTACCATTTGAAATGGTATAATATTTGCATTTGAGGCATTTATGGCATTTAAATGCTGTAATTTTGGTGTCCCCACTGTGTTCTGCTATTAATTAGTTCGTGCTTGTGCAGTGCATGAGGAGGGACGGAAAAGTTCCTGGCTTTGTTACCTTTTGCTCAGAATTGAAACACTAAACTAAAGCCATATGACAGTTTAATTTTTTGTTAAAGGGACCCTGAAATGGTTTCTTGAAGTTTTTGTCAGCGTTTAGGCTAACACATCACCAAACCATTCGCACCACAAATTTAGTGAAATGCCATGTGCCAAGGCCACTGCGAACAATTATGGACAATTATATCATACCTTTCTTCTCATCTCTGCCTGGCCTCCTCAACTCGTGAGGCACGCTGGCATCGCTGACGATCGCAAAGCTCTCATGAGCGCGCTTGACAATTTGAGTTTTTACCAGTCTATACCTTTGAGATGGCACTCCGACAGGTTGCGCGCAGTCTCGGAGGCCATCACACGATGTGCCCGGCAGCATGCACACTGTCTGACAACAGAGGCAAAGATCACGAAGTGGTTCATATTTGCTCCGAAAGGTGCCGCTGCCCTACCAACCAATCTTACTTCGGCACATTCGACAGCCCATGACAGCCAATCACATCAGCAGTCACGGTGACGTCTGATGGCCAGAGCATGTCGCTCGGTTAATGGACGGTTGAAAATGCGTTTGGCTAAGCCGCACCAAGCGACAGCGATCTGCATCGATTCGCAGCTTTAAAGCGTTGTAAAAGCGCTGCATCTTATGCAGAGAGCTCAAATCAGTCTCTAAATGATGCATAAGACTTGGTCTACGAGCTTATTGTGTTTGTAAAAAATTGGCGAAAACGTTTCAAGGTCCCTTTAAATGATTGGGAAAGCATAAAGTGTGTATGATTTTCACAGTATGAATTACAAGGAGAATGTAAGATGGCAGAGATATAATTGGGTTTTTTGTAGAGGAGTCAGAGTAATTCTGGACGTTCTGAAGTTTTTGTTTCTCCAGGAAAAAGTCTACATAACATATTTAGACTGAAATGTCAGAAACACTGGTGAGAAAGTGTCCTTTCTATGCACTTTGTCAACAAAGATCCTTGGGCACCTCTATAATCTACTGTGGGCCGTTGTGAACATGTGTGACCCGCAGCACTGCCGAGGCTGTGACACAAGCTTTTGTACTTTCATGAAACAGCTCAGAGGGAAGTGATCCTTCTCCCCATTTAAAAGGCACGCTCAGAAGCTGGCTCTTTCATTTCAAGACCTATTAATATGAAATGCGCCATGGCACGGATTGGTGACAACCTGGGCCTACTAGCTAATTCTGGAGGATAGGCAATTATATGCTGCAGAGATAGCCCAGTTTCTGGGAATCTGCAGTGAATCATCAGCACTGTTATCTTACATATCTGCAAGCTGTCAGCAAAGTGGGTGCCAAAGTATTTGAACTGTCGGCAATGAGCATTCACACACGTACAAAGCTGTGGCTGTCACATTAAAGACCGTGGGTCTCATATTGGCCTACAATCACTCCTATTCACTTGGCCTGGCCCCCTCTAGCTACCATCGGCTTTTTAATCAACAGAAAAACTCTAAGCGGTATCATTCTGACAACATTGCGTAGCTCAAGCATGGTGCTGAAAGTTGGTTTTACAACCTATCGCATGCCAATTTATTTCACTAGAAAAAATACAACAAATGTAAAAAAGGGCATCAGCTTGAGAAGGATTACTTTAAGTATTTCTTTAATTTCAAAGCGGTGACTTTACATCTCTTGTACGAAGCCAGGAACTTTTCAGCACTGCCTCGTACATAATGCATTGACAGCAGCTCGTGCCTTTACTGCTGCATAAAATCTCCACAACACTAGTGTAAATGCGAGGAATGATAGTGTGTGCCTGTGGTTTGGCTTGTGGAAGAAAAACTGGTATGCTTTGTGTCAAAAACGTGCATATGACTGTCAGAATAAGGGAGCCTGGGAGTACGTTGTCGTTTTCTTGTGGCACCCATCCTATGAGCTTTTGTAGCAGTCATTCAACACAGGCACTGGGAACTTTGAAGGTGCTAATGAACTGCGCACTGCCATCGGTATTCGGAAAGCTTTGCTCATTTATAGCAGGATTGTATAGCCACGGTTGCCCAATAAATAAATTAATGTTGTGTTTTAATCGTAAAGCCCTTTCATCCCCACAATCATCCCCACATTTGAAGAATGGTGGCAATGTTTCAAATTTATGGCACTTAAATGTGATTGGGGGTACAACTTTACTGAATGGGGTTATCTTGCTATTGATTAAATAGCCACCATTTTAATGTAATGGAAACATGTTTCATTGAAATACAAGAAAGTTTTTGTCGATGTTCCTGCACACACATCACTACAGCTAGTTTGACTCTTGCTCAATATCAATTGCAAGCCTCTCTTTTCACAGTTGCCCTATTGTCACACTCCTTACTCTAGATTTGCTATTTTTCTGCTGGTAGTTGTATGATAGAACCAGCAATCAGTTTGCAGCAGGGATGAGTAAGTGTTGTATCAATGTGGCCACGCGCATCGGCAACTGCTTGGCGTGTATGAACGTTCGCCCGCATGCATCTGACAAATGCCATGGAAGCACGTGGTGTATATTTGCCTGGCATCATTTGTGATGTGCACTGCTTCATGTTTAGGCATGCTCTAGGGCACAGAAGCTGTGTTTGCCTCTCCTGGCTGCACTGTGCTATGGATATATTCTCTCTTTATGAAAGTGCATGTTCACGGCGATGGTATCACGCAGTGGGATCTCGTGTGTTCAAGAAGCTGGCTTGTCTCTCTCAGCCAGTCTGTGTACATGGCAGGCTACATGACATCCATGATCATTTTTGGACAACTCTCTGACAGGTGAAGAACCTACCTTGCCTTATGCCTTTTTTTTATAAATTCTGAAGGCTTGGGGAAATGGTTCAAGGTGTCCATTGGGTGAGCACATTAATTGGACCGTTTAAATGCTTCACTCAGTTGATGGCACATTAACTGAGTGGCACATTAACTGATGGCACAGTAAGAACTCAGTTGATGGCACATTAATTGGAGCTATGGTACACTCATAAAATACAGCTGTTTTTAAATGCGTGCTCAATTTCCCAGTAGCATGTGCAGCTATGGTGAGTTATGCGTGCAAGAACTGAGTAATTTCCTCAAAGCATATTTCTTATGGTAACCAGTCTGCTGGCCTTACTCTTAAATGAAACATCAAATTACCGTATCTAAGATACAGTCGTCACTATTTAAAGTCTTTCTGTGCTTCCTTCTTAAGATGCTAGTCAGTTTGACCTAATTAATTATATCATGAGTACCGATTTTCTGCTTTCCTTCCTTCTTCTGTTTTCGAACTTTTGCTAGCGTTTAAAAAATGAGCAGTCAATGTAGGCTAGCATTCTGATTTATAGCTGCCTTAGAATTGGAGACATGTAAAAGATGATAACTATTTTTTTTTCAAGCAGCAGCTTCAACAGACACCGCAATAGCATGGTTTACTGAGCAGAGCTTTTTTACATAACTTACTTAACATAGCACAACTTGCATGAACTGGGCACTTTTTATGGACCGCTTGGAGGCTAAGCAAAGCTCGTATCGCCTTACAAGGGAAGGGGATTCGGCAAGTGATTTCATGTGCAAATTATCTTGCGACCTCAGTACAAGTTTGTCTTGCTGATTTCTGTCTTGTTTCTTGTTGTTGAAAATTTCTTGCTGTGAAGTTCCTTGCCATATCGTTCATAGGTGACATGTGCATGGCTGTGCACCAGCAAATAATCTTCTAGACTCAATGCTGACCTGGCATCTGGCACTTTTGCAGAGTTGGAAGGCGCACCGTGATCTGCATTGCCCTTACCATTCTACTTACTGCCGGGTTCTCAACACTCCTCTCCAAGACGTTCATCGCCTTCATTTCCTTGCGTTATTTCGTCTCGCTCGGCGTCTCTGGAGTGGGTGCCACATCATTTGTCCTGCGTAAGTGTGCTATTTATTGTAATTCATAGAGACGGTGGTGTGCGCTTACAACAGTCTTGTCAAAAAAATATTATGGACCATCTTCCCAAAGAGAACCCTGATGGGATGCAAAGCAGTGGTGGTGCGCACGGCGTTGATCCGGTTGAAACAGGTGTCGACGGGGGTGCTGAAAGAACGGTTTGAAGCGGAACTCGATGTAGCATTTACTCAAGTAAATGTTGCATCGTGTGGTCGAGCGAGTAAATGACGTGTGGTCGAGCGTGGCAGGTAGTAGAGAGGGTGAAGAGAGAGAGAAGAGCTGGCAGCTGCAGCGAGCGTGCTGCGGGCTAGGGAGAGAGGTACATAGCTCGCACTTGTGAGGGAAGCGTGCGAGGGGAGTGTTACGTCAACGCGCAGCTGCGGAGTGACTTTCTTGGCACCCTATAAAACCTGCGGTGAGAGGAACTCGTTGCAGCGTGTTCGTACGGAGGCACGTAAGTACAGCGTTACACGCGGCTTCACATCTAATAAAAGTAGGGCCTGGACTGCGACATTTAGATGTTCTAAGGCAATAGCACTTGAGCACCTATCCTAAGAAACACTCCTCCAGTCTAAGATTAGAAAGAAATCTCTGCAATTTTTACTCATTTATTTCTGGAAAATCTTCATTCAATTGGGTATGGTGGCATAACAACTTTGTTAATTCGAGTTGATGACAGTGTTGAACTCTATGGGTTCAACATTGCCTTGGAATGTAAATTGCTTCGTTAGGTGAGGAAGTTCACAGTCGAATTTTAAGTTGAATTTAGCTGTGATGTATACATATTGTCGCCTTCGTCTTTCGCAATGTATGGCACCTATGATGCCATCACAGAAAAGCTGTCTTCTTGTTAATCACAATAGCGAATTTGGAAGCTTGTGTCTCACACAGAGCTTTTGTACCCCCCCCCCCCATATTTTGATTCTTTTCTTAACCATTTTTTCAGTTTAATAAAGCAAAAAAATAATTTTCTACATGCTTTTTTTGCTGCTATTGGTTTTTGTATCCATTATTATGTGATTATCATTAGTACTAATATGACCACTGCATAAAGTGACGTGTTCCAATGCAATCTAATGATTTGAACATACAGTTAGGTCAGGGAAAGCATAAAAGCTGTTAATGTTTGTGTTTATTTGTGGTGTAATGATTGTGACTTGAATTGCAACAAATTGAAGTGGACCAAAAATCACCCGTTCGTTTGATGGGATCACAGCTTACGACCTTTCAATCCACCAAGGGAATGGGGCAATTTTCATCCACTTCAATTTGTGTCAATTTATGTCACAATCTAATGCACCACAGCTAAACACAACAGCTTAACGTCCTCTATGCTTTCCCTGGCCTAATTGTCCATGTGATTCATTTTCTTGTTTCAAACAATCAATGCGGCCTTTGAAAAAACTTCTTCTTTGTGTTCCAATGCAGTGATGGAAGTCACTGGTCCATCCACACGGTCATTCTTTGGCCTGGCTTATGAATTTGGCTGGGCCACTGGTTACCTGGTGTTAGCACTGGTTTCCTACCTCATCAACGACTGGTTCTATGTCCAGCTGGTGGCCATGATAGCAGCGCTAGTACTCGTCATTGGCTATTGGTGAGCTGACCTCTCTTCTTCACTGGTTCTTTGGAATCATCCCATTGCTTTACACCGAAAGGAAACTACGAGCTTGGCATAAACTGTTGAACTACGATTTCAAATTCCTTACAGCACATGTTGTTTGCTTTGAAAATGCTTAGTTAAAGAGGAAAATTAGTTTTATTATAGCATATGTCAGCACTCATCAAAAACGGTGACAAAATTGACACATAAAATGGACAAGTCAGCGCTTGCATCCATGCCCATTTTTGTGTCTATTTTGTAGTTTATTTATGCACACAACCATGAGCTATCGAAAACTAACCAACTATCCTACCAGTTAAATAATTGAGCTTCATAGATTCACACATTCCTAGGGCTATCCAAACCACTTGCCTCCGAGCAAGAAGTATGCTGTCACTACTTTTTTCTGCTCGACATCTGGTGCTATGATTTGTTATGTGTGACACATCACACGAGTTGCGTTTACGTGGAATTTTCACTTGAAGTGTATGTCCTGACAAAATCTCATCTGGTCAGGATAATACGGTAGAACAAATGCTGACCGAAAAGAAAATATATTTACTGGTGTTGCCCCGCTACGGTGGTCTAGTGGTTAAGGCTCTCCGCTGCTGACCCACAGGTCACGGGATCAAATCCCGGCTGCTGCGGCTGCATTTCTGATGGAGGCGGAAATGTTGTAGGCCCGTGTGCTTAGATTTGGGTGCACGTTAAAGAACCCCAGGTGGTCGAAATTTTTGGAGCCCTCCACTACGGCCTCTCTCATAATCATATGGTGGTTTTGGGACGTTAAACCCCACATATCAATCATATTTATTGGTGTTTCATCGCCCATGTACCTTGGAGTCTTGTTCATGATGAAACGAAGGACTTCGTTTCTGAATAAGCTTCTTGTGCAAGAGCCAGAACACCAGTAGGGCTATTTTCACCTTGGTCGGAGCTGCTAAGCTTTCGCCATCATTTTATCCTATCTGCACCTCAAGAGAGTTTCACAAGCAGGTAATTCCTGCACAGCACGATGCAATTGCAGTTTATACATTCATCTGCATCTGCTTTGTCAATTTAAATTATTACTTCTTGCACCTAAATATCCATAAATATTGCACATATGGATTATGCTGTCATTGAAGCTTTTGTAAACACCAACATTACTAGGTTCCCCCAGCTGTTCCACGTTATATTCTATATCTGTTAATTCTGTTATCTGTTAAACTTAAAAACTGTTAATTTCTCTCTTCTGTTACATCACTCCTAATAATTACGAGATTGCTCCGCCACGGTGGTCTAGTGGCTAAGGTACTCGGCTGCTGACCTGCAGGTTGTGGGTTCGAATCCCGGCTGCGGCGGCTGCATTTTTGATGGAGGCGGAAATGCTGTAGGCCCGTGTGCTCAAATTTGGGCACACGTTAAAGAACCCCAGGTGGTCAAAATTCCTGGAGCCCTCCACTACGCCGTCTCTCATAATCATATGGTGGTTTTGGGATGTTAAACCCCACAAATCATCATAAGTAATTATGAGATTATCGTTTTGGCATGTAAAACACTGCAACTTTATTTTGGAGTCGGGTGCTTGATCAGGGTTTCAAGAGATTCAGCATAACTGGTGATTTCAGGGTTCTCCCCGAATCTCCACGATGGCTGATGGCCAACAAGAAGTTCGACCGAGCTCACAAATTGATCATGGAGGCTGTGGAACGCAACGAGAAGGACAAGGACGAGGCAGAGCTCAAGTTTCAGCTGCTGAAGAAAGAGATCGAGAAGGTGAATGCTTTTGTCTGCATCTTTGCAAAGGGAAGAAATCTTAACCGTTGCGTTTTAAAGCTGCGTTTTTAGCGAACGGCATGGTTAGCTACCACTAGGTGTTAGCCATAATCTTTTTGTTTTGCTTTATTTTTCATCAGTGAACATCTATGCACGGCAAATTTTTGTAGACGTGAGAAAGTGCAGAACTTGTGCAGTGATCTACTGTCTCCCTTTTCCAAACAAAGAAACTACGATAGCCAAGATATCTTTGACCGCACTAGCATTCACCCTCTTATGGACACATAAAGACAAGCCTTCCCTTCAAAACAAAAGTACTTCTGTCAATGTAGCCATTAAGGAATGGCAGCTCTTTCGGCTGTAGTTAATTTAGAAAAGGTACTTTGGGAGCTTCCCGCACAGGACATGCCAGTGTTTGATCTCTGAAAAAGTTCACAACAGCAAGCTGTGAGCCAACGAATTCAAGGACGCCCACCTTGCCACCTCCCGTAGCGGGCTCTTACATGAGCCGGCCTACTCGTAAATTGAATCACTTTGTGCTTTTAAGGATGCTGTTTAACTTGCTGTGTTGGCTACTTTATGTACTCCTCGGTAGTTTTGACTGGACAGTGCTTTGCCCATCTGACCACGCAGGAGGAGCCAAAGCATGTGTTTGGTAAAGCAACGGTATTCGACCTGCTCAAGACGCCTGTGCTCAGAAGGCGCACACTCATTCTCTATGCCTGCTGGTGAGATTACTTTTGCGAATGCCTTCTGCAGAATTATGAAAGGATTATGACAGGAATAATTGACAACCACATCTTTCTAGCATGAAGCCAAAAGGAAATTCATACGGGTTTCTCAGAAAGGAAAGCCTTTTACTAGCTGAAGGAAAATTTGTCTTGGTTGTGGGATCAAATTCAGAACCATTGCCTTTGTGGGACAGTTGCTCTACCACATGAGCTCACTCTGGTTAGGTGGGAAATATGTCACTCCCAGATTTAATACCAGGACCAGGCTGAATTTTCAGTCAACAAAAAGACATCAGCTTGTTTTGTACAGCTCCTGCTCATCTCTTAAACCTTTTATCTACAAGTTTTTAATGCAAGCTTGCAAGTTACAAGTTTTTGTTGCAATAGCAAATATGTGGGCAGTTCCGGCTGGTTTTTTTGCTATTGCCGTCGCTGCCTTCATTCACCGTATATGTACACGCATGTATATATATATATATATATATATATATATATATATATATATATTTCACCGGAACTATTGCGTTAGTTGCCGGGCCCACAAAGGTCACTTCGCTCGCTGCACCGGCCCCGTTTGCGAAAAGAGCGTACTTTTCATACACAGCGAAGTATAACAACTGGGACACTTGTTTGTTTGCTCTCATCTGTACTTGTGATTACGTTTCGTGTGTGGTGTTTTTAAACGGCGCGTAAAGTGTCGAGCGGTAAATGTTGTCAGTTCGCTCTCATGCTGTGTATGTTTTTTTTTATTAAATGTATGTAAGGAGAGGTTGGTGCCAATGCGTGGCGCCGGCTACTCCTCTTGCACAAAAGTCAACACCGCACATTCAGTAGCAAACACAAGGCTATACATATGTACATAGCACAACACTTACACAATGAGTTCACGTATTTCCACACTGAGTGTCCACACCACACAGAAATGAGTCCACACTGCGTAGAACTGTGTCCGCACCACACTGAGTTTGTAAAAAACAAAACAAAAGAAATCCACACAAGCAATCATGCCAATTTAAATGTTCACACATAAACGTGAAAGTTCAATAAAACGTGTAAGGTGATTTTGTAAGATAATTTTCATGCGTCATTTGTATGTTATTTCATGCGTCATTTGTAGCTGTGTATGTTATTTTCATGTGTCATTTGTGCGTGAGCAGCGCGCTGCACGTTTAGATCTGCTTGTCATTCGCAAGGTTACATTCCAAGTTGTTCTTATCACATTCATCGCTTCACCCTTGTGGCGAAACTGTGACGTTTTTTTTATTCCAGTAAATTGTAATTAAACTATAGGATAAATTTAAGTGATATAAGTGCAGTTTTACTTTTGTTGAGAATGTGCGCAAAGGTTGCAATAAACATGAGACCCATTGGTTATAAAAGGTACTGAAAGCACCGAGCTACATGTTTAAATGCCACAACTGAAGTGCACAATGCTAAAAGATTTAATGAGAGCAGCAAGACTTCAGCAGGCGAAGCTAAAAAAAGGCTTTGGCCTGGCTAATATAAAGGAAAACACCTCTGACTGACCTCTGCGTGGCTGGGTAACACATTACTAAAAAAAATTACTCTGCAGCCACATTTGATTTTAATAAACAAACAAGAGAAAGGCCACTTCAGTCTCTTCTCTATAGGTTACTGTCCAGCAAGACACCAAGGAAAGCGCCCTTAAAGGCCCCTTAACAAGCTATGGAAATACAACGAAAGTGCCTGCTGTTCTTGTTTCGCGTCTTTTCAGTGCAATTCTTGATGCCAGAAATTTGTTCATGTGACATCATGAGGAAATGAGCTCTTATTTGGTTGATAAATATTTTATGCTGTCCACATATGCTGGACACATTTTATGTTGTCCAGGTACTTTATGAAGTAGTAAGTGGCAAGGAGAATATAGCACTTGTATAAATGGACGTGAAGGCGAGAAGCAAACCACTCTCTCTCATCTATGAGCTCAAACTGGTCTATGGTCTGTTTAAACAGTCGTGCATTGTCCTTTCCACAGTCAGTCGTTGTTGCCTTCTTGGTGGCTGTGTTTGAATGCCATGCCCGTACAGCTGCTGCTCAAGTTATCAGTTGAAGGGTTAACTCTTCGTGTTTCTGCGGACACTCCCTCGATTGTATGTGATGAACGTTCTTGTTCCGCCCGCACAGGTTTGTCAATTCATTCACCTACTATGCCATGTCACTCAATACCAATGACCTGGGAGGCAACCCATACCTCAACTTTGCCATCGCTGGCGCTGTGGAGTTTCCAGCCTACGCCATCTCCATATGGGTAATCCAGAAGATGGGACGGCGCTGGTCGCAGAGCGGATGCATGCTGTTGGCGGGAACGTCCTGCATTGTCACCATCTTCTTCTCGGGAGGTGAGTAATCCCCTCTGTTGGTTTGGAACCAGTGATAGACATGTTCCGTCGTACCTTAATTGATAGACCATTGCATGCATACGTAAATGGAAAGTTGTGGGTTGAGGTCTCATTGACGGAAGGGATGGTTTTTCATCTATTGCAGTTCATTGCAATTTACATCACAATTTGTAAACTACAGTTGAAGGCAACAATTGATGACCACTGTGCTTTCCCTGGACTAATTGTCTGTTCAATCCATTTGGTTGGGTTTATATATAAATGAGCCTACCGAAAAAGATTCTTCTTCTTTCGTTACCATTGGAAAGTAACTCTTACAATGAAATCTACCTGGAGCACGAAGGTAACCCATTGAAAGTTGCACTTTCAAACTACACGGTTTGCTGCTGTGCAAGGGACGTTAATTGTACACTAAGTGTATCGTAGGAATTGTGTTATATACATGAAAAGAATTAGCCAAGAAAAGACAACTTGCCGCTGGCCGGGACCGAACCTGCACACCTTTGAATTACGCACCCAATGCTCTTTCGTATGAGCTACGACGGCAGTCGTCCTTTTGTGTACTCTGTGCAGCAATTACTAGGTGCATACAAACCCTGCGGGTGTTAGTTAGTGCCATTTGCAGCCATAACAGTGAGTGTGGTGCCCACTGTGTTTTTGCCAGCTAATCATGTGATACCAACAGGCAAAATGAGTGTGTTTTGCACACGCTGTCATTGCCGCATGCGGCGCTAGTGCTCCCGGTATTTGCATGCTCACTAAGTGGACAAGGAGCTGAGGTCGTCGGCGATTTTCTGCTAGAGACAAGACAAATTCAATGCTAAGGTATCGAATTCAAAAATATTTTTCAAGAAATTAGTCATCTTTTTCTTTAATAAAATTAATTTCATTGAAAGGTTATCTAAATCAAATATATTCATTAAAAACGTTGGTCTTTTTTATTGTGGAATAATCTAACAAATGGTTTCAAAACTATTACTTACCATTTTAAAATGGTATTACTTATCATTTTAAAATTATGAACGAAATCTTTTATGTAGCAAGGCACCACTCGTTTCATGGCCGATCCCCCATGATGGGTTGCACCAGGATAAAGGGGCTATCAATCAATCAATCAATCAATGTTTGCAGCTGCAGCTCTGATACTAAGAGCATCAGGAGCTTGATCTGAAAGTTGCAGGTCTGCACCCCCCCCCCCCCCCCAGCAACACAGTCTGCTTTAATTCACGTTACTTTCGTCACATCAATATCCCAATTACTATGATGCACTTAAAATAGCTCTATTAGTATATCCCTTACACTCTCCTTGGCTTTATCGTTCCTGCAAACAAAGAAGCGAGCCTGCAAAACTCTTCTTTCGTATCATTTATTCGTGTTTGACATTTTAATTGCTGTTTATACAGTAACATCAAAATGACGATTCTACCAGACTAGCAGCAAGAGTAGCAAATCGCGTATAGATTGAAGGTATAACTTTAAAGAGGTTACTTTCATGCTCCGGTAGCTCTCATTGTAACAGTATTATCTTTTGCTGCTAACAAAAGGGGAATTTTCTCCAACAAGCATGTTATATGCTGCTGGTTTTCATTCAACATTAATGATATATCTTGTATCTTAATTTCAATTTTGATACATAGCGAAGAGGTGCTGTCCTTGTGTGATAAACACAAGTTTCAGCATTATTCACCGCTGTTTTTTAAGGCTTTTTGTTTCATCAACAAAATGCCCTTACTTATTATATGCAATCCGGTATGTTTTGGTAATTTTAGTACACCATTGTTGTCCTTTCCATGTAGAAAGCAGCTGTTCTACATTATATAATATTTGGCTGCATGAAAGGTATCTAATACCAAAAAAATGCTTTGGATTACTTCGGTGAGTTGTTTAGAAGTCTTGCTAAAATTCTTGGTCATGCATGCAGTGACTTGCAACTCTCAAGAGATATTAATGCGTACTTTTGGCTTGTTGAAAGGGCTTAACTACTTTGCATGCAGTAATTTGTCACCATGGTCCTTAATTATATAAGTGAAAAGAACCTCACTTGAGGCTCTAATCTTGCCTCCTCTTGCATGTTTGCAGAGACCCTCTGGGTGAAGATAACGTTTGCCATGTTCGGCAAGTTTCTGATCACGGCCTCCTATGGCATCCTGTACGTCTACTCGGCCGAGATCTACCCCACTGTAGTGCGTAATGTTGGGGTCGGCTCGAGCTCTACCATCGCTCGATTCGGTGCCATCATCGCCCCTTTCGTAAAGGAGCTGGTGAGAGGAACATCAGTAACTTTTATTGCATACTGAAACCAACCTAAAGGTATACTGACACCGATTTTAAAAGCCGAGTTTACTCTGTCACAGAGATCTCCTGTATACAGAGGCCACTCTGAGCAAGTTTCAAGCTCAACAAGTGCTGATAAGATACTTCATTTTGATATTGAAGTCAACAATGAAGACACTAGTGACAATAGTCTATTCTGGTATTGAAGACCCTGGTATGAAGACGCACTGGTATGGCTAGTTGCGATTACATTTGGGAAACAAAACGACCATAATGACCGCTCGTACGTCGGCCACGGAGCCACTCAGCGAAGCGTGGAAACACTATCTAGTATGAACAAATGGCGAAAAAAAGCTCGCACTGTCTTTTGACGTCAGGGTACAGTAAAAACCAAAACTAGCTTCTGAAAACATAATTTATAGGATGCACTCTCACATACATTTTCTAGGCTCTTGAGGACTTTACCTTTCTTGTGGTGAAAAAAAAAAAAAAAAACTTGAAAATTTTTTTATATCCTTTCTAATATTATAGTTGAACACTTCTGTATCGAATGCAATGCCTTAACCTGAGTGCATTACAAAATGTTGGCTACATTGAAATAGCCAGAACACTTGATATATCAAACATCATGCAATGGTGAAATGCCCCAAGAAGTTGGCTTTTCTTCACGGAGGAGGGGACTATTTCACATGCGTTTCAGAGAGTGAGTCGTAGGATTAGAAGGGTGCTCCGCGAATCAAGTGGAAAGTACCGCCTGCTGTCGTGTGTTTTCTCCCACGATTCTTTGTCATTGTTCCACCAGTCCATTGTGCGGGGTATCCGTTCACTTCTTTGCTTGTTCTGTTAACACAATGGATGTCGTGAAACAGAAGAACCTACTATTCTCTGCAAGGCTGCCAATAATCAACACAGTCAAACGTAGAAAAAAGAAGTTTCACGCTGCCACTGTGTACACCATCCCAAGACAAACATTGAGTACAATATTTAAAAACAAGGCTGATCTTAGGGCCAAGGCAGAGTACACGTCTTCGGTGTTCAATGAGCATTCACGCTACGCTTGAAAATTTTGTGTCGCTATTTACGTCTTTATCGTATTTGATGGCATATATCCTGCCATAGCTTGCATCCGACGAGTACACCCAGCTGCATATGAAGATCTCGAGGCTCTACTTACGTCTTTACCGTATTGTAACGCACTCTTCAATGAACTCTTTTAATAGGCTAACGTAGGCAGGGCGAACTTGTGCCCGAGAATAATAACACAGCTAGATTGTTTCAAGGATTCACTTCTGTTTTTTTTTCTACGTTCTTCTTTTTTCGAACACGGTTCGCGCGCAGCTGGGTCCCGCAGGCTCGGGCATTGCAAATAATCTAGAAGGCACAAGTATTTGCTAGCGCACGTAATTTGAAGTCACATTGTGTCATTGCCCCCCTTTCCAGAGTGCATCGTCCCGATGCTTGTGTCGAACTGGTTTCTTGGCAGTCATTCACAAACCCTCGTCGAGGATGCCGTTAACGTGAATTAACGTTGTGTCTCCGGTTTTCATTGCCTGTCGTGATATGGTTTCATCCTGACGACATGCACAATTTCCGTGCGATGCCGCCGTCGGGATGAAATATCCTGTCCCTCTGGCATAACTTCGTAATTGAGCGAGCCGACGCGGCGGAGCACTCTGTACGGACCGAAATAGTGGCGAAGCAGTTTTTCTGACAGGCCACGTATTCGTACAGGAATCCACACCCATACTCTGTCTCCTGGTGCGTACTGGACGTCTCTTCTTCGCAGATTGTATCGATGCGTGTCGTTTTTTTGCTGTTGGAGAATGCGATATCGTGCCAGCTGTCTGGCTTCTTCTGCTCTTTGTATGTAGTCGTGAACGTCATAGTAATTCTCGGGCGTCTCGTCAATAGGTAACATTGCATCTAAAGGTGTCGTTACCGTGTTGTCTCTTGCATCGCAGTGTTATAGGCGAATGTTGCATAGGGTAATATTTTATCCAAAGTACGGTGTTCTATATCAACGTACATTGACAACATATCAGCCAGCGTTCTATTCAGTCGTTCCGTAAGACCATTTGCTTGAGGATGATATGCCGTCGTTTTCCTATGACTGGTGTGCGTCAATTTCATAATACATTTCATCAGGTCGGCTGTAAATGCAGTCCCTCGGTCCGTGATCAACGCTTTTGGAGCTCCGTGCCACAGTACGATGTTGGAGACGAAGAATTCAGCTGCTTTAACGGCTGATCCTTTAACAAGAGTCGCTGTCTCGGCATATCTGGTTAAATAGTCGGTCGCAACTATTATCCACCGTTTTCCCGATGACAACGTAGGAAATGTGCCCAGTAAGTCCATTCCCACTTGTGTGAATGGGGCTTCTGGTGGTTCTATCGGTTGAAGGAGACCTGTTGGTTTTAGCGGTGACGTTTTACGTCTTTGGCAGTCCCGGCAGGTTCTGACATAGTGTCGTACAGAGCTAAGCAACTTCGGCCAGTAGTATTTAGTGCGGATGCGTGCTAACGTTCTGCTTACTCCTAAGTGTCCAGCTGATGGATCGTCGTGGCAAGCCTCCAAAATCTCTGGTCGCAGAGGTGAAGGGACGACAAGCAGGAATGTCATTGTTGTCAAAGTTCCTTTTATACAGGATGTTGTTTCGTAGGACGAATGCTGACACGCCGCGGACAAAAGGTCGTGGAACATCAACAGACTGTCCTTGTAGGTACTTTATCAAGAGGAGTATCTCAGAGTCGGATCGCTGCTGATGTGCCATCTCTGATGGTGTCACAGCTCCCAAGAAAATAAAATCTTCACCATCCTCGGTGGAAGCAGAAGCAGCAGGTTGAATCGGAGCATGTGACAAGCAGTCCGCATCACTGTGCTTGCGACCTGACTTGTACACAAGCGTGACATCATACTCCTGTAATTGCAAGCTCCATCGTGCAAGCCGACCACATGGGTCCTTGAGATTAGCCAGCCAGCATAGCGAATGATGGTTGCTAATAGCTCGAAAAGGCCTACCATATAAATATGGTTGAAACTTGCTAACAGCCCATACCACGGCAAGGCATTCTTTCTCGTTCGCTGAGTAGTTCACCTCAGCTTTCGAAAGAGTGCGACTGGCATACGCAACGACTCGTTCTTGCCCGTTTTGCCATTGGGTGAGCACGGCCCCAAGACCTAAATTGCTTGCATCCGCGAGGATATCGGTTTCCGCTTCCTCGTCAAAATGCGCCAGAACAGGATGGCTTTGAAGGCACTTTCGTAGTTCATTGAAGGCATCCTTTTGTTCGGCAAGCCATACGAAAGGCATTTCCTCTTTTGTCAGCCGCGTCAGTGGTTCAGCGATTCGTGAAAAATTTTTAACGAACCGTCGATAATAGGCGCAGAGACCTAAAAATCGCCTAACAGCCTTTTTGTCTGTTGGCTTCGGAAATCTTGCTACGGCCTCAGTTTTTGCAGGGTCTGGGCGGACGCCTTCTGCACTGATGACATGGCCGAGAAAAAGGAGCTCACGGAAGCCGAAATGACATTTCTGCGGTTTTATCGTCAAGTCCGCTGATTTGATCGCAGTTAGCATGGCCCAGAGCCTTTCCAAATGTTGCTCAAAGGTAGCAGAGAAAACTACAACATCGTCGAGATAAATGAGGCATGACTGCCATTTAAGACCACAAAGCACTGTGTCCATCATCCGTTGGAATGTGGCGGGTGCTGAACAAAGGCCAAAAGGGAGTACCTTGAACTCGTATAAACCATCCGGTGTCACAAACGCTGTCTTTTCGCGATCTCTTTCGTCAACTTCTATCTGCCAATATCCACTTTTAAGATCCAATGAGGAAAAATACCTGGCATTTCACAGCCTATCCAGAGTGTCATCAATTCTTGGCAGAGGATAAACATCCCGTTTGGTGACAGCATTCAGCTTCCGATAATCAACGCAGAAACGTAACGTTTGGTCTTTTTTTTTTACAAGAACAACAGGTGATGCCCATGGACTTGATGAAGGCTGGACTACATCGTCTTTGAGCATTTCTTTAACCTAATTACCAATAGCTTCTTTTTTCTTGGTGACACTCGGTAGGGATGCTGGTGTATTGGCCTCACTGACTCATCGACAATGATGCGATGTTTGGCGACAGGAGTGCGTCGAACCTTAGATGACAACGAGAAACATTCGGCGAATTCCCTTAAAAGACCCTCTATTTGCTCTTTTTCGCTTGGTAGTAGGCCTGGTTCGATGTCGATGGCTGCAAGGACAGACTCCACGTCTTCGAAATCAGACTCATTGGTTTCGAAAGTGCGCAGCTCCGTAACCTGGACGAAATCATTCAGACTGGCGATGACGGTTCCTTTGGCAACATGCTGCACCTCATTTCCAAAGTTTGTGAGTAGAACATTTGCACATCCGTCACGTAACTTAACAAGGCCTCGTGCCATGCAGATCCCTTTTTGAAGTAGTAAGGCAGTGTTGTTTTCGGCAAATCCTTCGAATTCACTGAATGCTTTGTTGGTTACTGCGACAGATATGCTCGATCTTGGCGGCACTATGACGCCATCATCTGCAATACAAAGGTCATATACGTTTTCTTCCGTTTCAAAGGTAGCAATCGCGTGCTTAGTCGAGAATTAGACGGAAGATTCTCGCAAGTTAATTACAGCGCCATTAACTCGTAAGAAATCCATGCCGATAATCAAGTCTCTTGAGCATTCCGGCAGCACAATAAAACTGGCGACGTACGTGAAACCCCGTATTCTGATTCTTGCTGTGCATATTCCAGTAGGGTCGATGAGGTGCCCTCCTGCTGTGCGAACTTGTGGTCCCTTGCAGGGAGTCAGCACTTTCTTTAGTATTTTAGAAAGTCTGCTACTCATCACTGAATAATCTGCGCCGGTATCTACCAGTCCGATGACTTCGTAGCCGTCAACGAACACACATAAATCGGAAGCAACGTCACTATCGAAGCACCGGTTTTTGAATCGGTCGTCGTTCAGAGTCGGCAATGGAGGTTTTTCTGCATTAGCGTCGACAGCGGCCTTGCCCCCACAGGTCGCTGACTCTAGTTTTCCCGACGCGGGCTTGGGGAACGAGACCTTGGGGAGCTTGTTGAAGGTCGGGGGCTAGGCGATCTATACCTCCCCGTTGTCGTTGCACGAGGTTGGTGTCGTTGGAGGCCACTTGAGGTTTGACGACCTGACAGGTATTCTTCAATTTCGAAGGGACGTTCACCATTTCGTGATCGAGGTGCAATAACAGGAAAACCACGTAGCCCTGCCTGGCGGTAGTGGCACGTTCGGTGGAGATGACCAGGCTCCCCACAGTGGTAACACAGCGGTATCCTTTCGGGAGTGTGCCAGACATCGCTCTTCCTTAGTCTCCTCTCTGGCGTTGGCTGCAGGGTGCTCGGCGGCATCGGGTACTGCATAGGTGTAGCCGCCGCGACATCCGCATGTCCTGGAGGTCCTCGTAGTAGCACATCAGCATACGTCATTCTCGTCTTCTGTTGTAGTGGCGGCCCTGGCTGTGCGTTGCTCGAAGGTTCGCGTACCACCTGCCTGACCTCCTCACGGATCACATCGGCCAGAGACGAAAGCATTGGAGCGTTCTGGTCAAGACGCTGCTTCTGCAGCTCTTCTCGCACAACAGACTGCACCAGCTCGCGTAGTGCTTCCATGCCGTTACTGAAGACTGGTGGCAGCATGTCCAAGAAAGTGACGATCGCATCCCGGTTGTATAACCTTGCTCGCTGTTGTAGCGTCCTTTCCATTGTAGTCACCTCGGAACGAAACTCGGCGTCGGTGCGCGGCGGGCTTCGAATTAGTCCGGCAAAGAGTTCTTGCTTCACGCCTCGCATCAGATGGCGCAGCTTTCTGTCTTCGCTCATATTTGAATCCGCTCGGCGGAATAAGCGAGACATGTCTTCCAGATACGAGGCGACAGTTTCGTTATATCGCTGATTTCTTGTCTGGAGCGCAGCTTCAGCTCTCTCTTTGCGGTCTGTGTTCAGGAAAGCAGCGAGCAGCTCCCGTCGAAAATCATTCCATGACCGGAAGGTGGCTTCGTGGTTTTCATACCACGTTTGTGCGCTATCTTCCAGTGCGAAGTAAACACTTCCAAGTTTGCGCTCTTCCCCATATCCGTTAGCCTTTGCGACGCATTCAAAGTGCTCAAGCAAGTCCCCTGCGTCCTCGTAGCTTTCGCCGTGGAGAGGCTTTGGTAGCATTGGCTGGTTTACTACAATGTTGGCTGGAGTGACCTGAGCTGTCATGTCGGTTGCGTACCCGTTCACAGCCGTTGATGTTTCAAGGGAAGTCGATAAAGGTGAAAATTCAGGACCCTCACTATGTAGGCGTCGACTGCAGCGCTGATGAACAGGCATCAGCTTGTTGGGTCGAAATCGCTGTGATTCTGGACTATGCTCCGTCACTCGAGAGGGGCTTGGCATCACACCCAGCACTTCCACCAGATTTGTAACGCACTCTTCAATTAACTCTTTTAATAGGCTAACGTAGGCAGGGCGAACTTGTGCCCGAGAATAATAACACAGCTAGATTGTTTCGAGGATTCACTTCTGTTTCTTTTTCTACGTTCTTCTTTTTTCCAACACTGTTCGCGCGCAGCTGGGTCCCGCAGGCTTGTGCGTCGCAAATCATCTAGAAGGCACAAGTATTTGCTAGCACGCATAATTTGAAGTCACATTGTGTCAGTATTTTATCACATCCCACCCCTGCATATTATCCACATTTCCAACTACAAACTTTGGAAAAATACAAAATTAAAGAAAAAGCATATTGCCATGAAGGAGGCACTTTTCTTGCATCATTGCTATTCAGTGCCATGAAGAGAACTCGCTCGCTGCAATTCGCTTCGAAAATACAATAGTTTTACTTATAGTATATGTTGAATCGGCCAGTATGTGTAACTAATTCCGTTTTTTGCAAGTGCTATATTTGTGGGCTCGAATCTGTAAATTTATTTCTTTTTTAGTGCAAATGAGCTCTGCGCAGACCCGCTATGTAGCAGAAGGGTTAGGAAAGTGAAATTACACAGCCACCTGTTTGTAGCGTGGAGGCACAAGGAAATTCAAGTGGATTTCTCAAAAAGAAAAATCTTTTCTTTCCGAGAAATTTGTATAGATTTCCTTGTGGCTTTGTGCCACAAACGGGTGGCTGTCTCGTTTTTCTTTCTTTACTCTCTTGCAATTTTGCGGCTCTCCGCAGAAGACAGTTGTATAACTTGTGTCTATGTCCTTTGGATTGTCGATAAATTCACTCTCGCGCTGCCTATTGTTTGATTCCTGGTTAACTCAATCGGTAGAGCGATTGCCCCGGAAAGGCGTTGGTTCCGGGTTCAATGCTCAGACCAGGACGAACTTTTCGGCAACTAAAATGGCTTTGCATTGTGATAAATCCATATGTATTTCCTTGTGGCTTCGAGTTACAAACAAGTGGTGGCATAGTTCTTTTCTTTCCGAGAAATTTGTATAGATTTCCTTGTGGCTTTGTGCCACAAACGGGTGGCTGTCACGTTTTTCTTTCTTTACTCTTTTGCCATTTTGCGGCTCTCCGCAGAACACAGTTGTATAACTTGTGTCTATGTCCTTTGGATTGTCGATAAATTCACTCTCGCGCTGCTTATTGTTTGATTCCTGGTTAACTCAATTGGTAGAGCGATTGCCCCGGAAAGGCGTAGGTTCCGGGTTCAATGCTCAGACCAGGACGAACTTTTCGGCAACTAAAATGGCTTTGCATTGTGATAAATTCATATGTATTTCCTTGTGGCTTCGAGTTACAAACAAGTGGTGGCATAGTTTACGTTTCTATTTTTTTTTTTTTGCTAATAAAAACATTTAGAATTAATGTTAGATATAGCAACAAGATCAATACCAAAATGTGTCGCAAGCTGATGGAATACAGAAAGTGACGTTAGGTTAAATGCTGTCCCCATGCCAAGTGTCTGCCTGATTTCTGCCTGAGCATCAAAATTTCATTTTATTTATCTTCATGTGAACTGGCCTCACCTACAAAATTTATTGCATGTGTTACCACTGGTCTGTGTAGGCCACGCCAGAACATTTGGAGAACATCACGATCATTTTAGACAGCCCTGTTAAGACATCGAATGATGCCAGTAGTTAAGCTTATTGTATAATTAACCTAAGCACCAGCGATAACTGGATAATTCTACAATGCGTTTATAAGGCGTTCCTTTTGCTAACAATGAGATTATGATGTCTGAAAATTGTACTCACCACTATTATTGTTGTACGAATGTTACTTAGAGCGTTCCTTCGGTGGGTGCAAGTTCACCCAGTGAATACCGTATACTTTCGCTAAACGAAACGCAAAGGACCAAAATCATTTCCGATTTAGAAGTCCTTCAGTGAAGAATGAACAGGGTTGCAGTATTCATGTACGAAACCAATCGCATTTGAGGCAGTTGTTTCATTTAGGGGATTTCCATTTTCTCAGAGTTTACAATAATCCCCTCTTCAGAGCGATTCGACTGCTTACCTGCGACAGCTGACAATGTTTTTGTTTTGTGTGATGTGCAGGGCCATGCTACGCACGAGAATGTGCCGTTCGGTGTTTACGGCGCCATCTGCATCGCAAGTGGCCTTACCGTGCTCTTGCTGCCCGAGACCCGAGGAGCTCAGCTGCCGGACAGCGTGATGGAAGGAGAACAATTTGTTGGGTGAGTGTAGAGTGATCGCAAAGTTTTCAGATGCATTTTATACTGCCGAGCAACTTACTGGACAAAGATACAAGTGTGGTTAAGGGAAAAACAACTGTAGGACATACAGTGAGGTCTACTTATGAAGAGGGGCAAGGCAAGAAACCTCCGTTAAAAAATACATATAGTATACAGTAGAGAACCCTTGTAGTACTCCTGACAGGGTATGTAGATAATGTTAACTGTTTTTGCATTTGAACGACAGGTAAAGCAGCAAATTTTCATGCATGGTGTTCTGTAAGCAAAAGTCCTTCCTCAAGAATTAAGTTGTTGACACATGCATTACAATTACAAGTGGCAGCATGACTGCCAGCTTTTAAATGACCAGGCGTGCACTCACGGACACAAGAAATGAAGACAACACAAGTGCCGACTAACAACTAACCAACTATAGCTCAGCTTTCTGTTAATCTAAGCATCTAAAGGCTTTACTGTAATCATCTGTGGCCCTGGGAAGCAAAAAAGAAAATGAACATGTGCCTTTTTTTTCTCTCTCTCATCGTGTCCCCCGTCTATAGTTTTGTAATTCTCTCGATTTTCAGGGCCCCTAAGTTGGTACCTCATATATTCGACATAAGCACTGGGTATCGAAAAAACACGAAAGAATATATTGAAGCTCTGTGTCCTCACGTCTCTTTGCATGAAACATAAAGATAAAGCAGCTCTGCCAGCAGCGCTTACCGCCTCCCACAGGTTCTATTTATCATTGTGGGAGAAAATGTACTGCTCAAAGAAGTGTCTATTGAACACAGCGTGAAATAAGTGCTGTGTTACATATCCGTGCTTTTTTTGCAGGCCGCAACAATCAAAGTCACAGGACAAGGTGCCAGAAGAGGGGGCGAAATAACAAAGCCAAGCAGGATAGTCCGAGGACGAGATTGTAAGGGAGGGCATTGTCTAGATACTCATATGCAAGGCAAAGCATGTATATACTGTAACTAGTCTCACTGTATTTTTTTCTATTTGCTTTACACCATAATCTTGCAAATGAATAAACTGTACAGGTGTCTCTTAACTTAAATATGGCTGGTTGAAAGGCTACGCCAGATCGGGGATCATCAAACTTTGGAACACTTGTAATGACGAAATGGCATATTCAAGGACTTAAAAGCCTTTGAAGTGAAGTGTGCACTTTCAAGTTCAATTTCAGTTCACACTAAACTAGCTGATTTCGTTTGAACATGTGAAGTCGCAAAGTTGACACAGTCAAGTCTCAAAGTTGTGGCTGGTGGTGGTTGCTCACTAACCATTCGTGCATGTTTTTTTTAATTAGCACTTGATGAAAACACTTCGTTCAATGTTATGTACAAAAGTCTGGTTTTTACGTTGATGCGCTTTCAGAACTGCTCAAAAAGTATTGTGTTATGGGTGAACCTTTTTCAAATTTTTTTCGCTTCTCTTTGCAGATAGAGCAATCAATGTGAGCTTTGTTACCTGTGCAGATAAGTGTAATTTTTACATAGCATAGTGTACATAGTGCACTCAGACAAGGACTCTACTGTTTCATTGCGAACATTTCAATTCCAGCCAGGCACTGTCACAGCTTTTATTGTAAAGCACTGTGTGTTTCTTTGAGCAGCAGTACTAGAAGCATCAGTACGGAATTATCTGGGGAAGAAATCTTGAACTAAAAATTGTGCTCTTCAACAGGAATGCATCTGAAAAGAAGCAACAGAAACAAACAGTGAATATTTGTTCATAATGAACTATTTTCACAGAAGCAAAATGAACACTCTGATCTTTGGCTGTCAGAATTCAGGTACAGCCAGAATTCAGGATACTAGTATAAAAATTAAACTGTCAGATGATGTATATATTGGCATCTACGCAACATTTTACATAAAAATTCAAGTTATCGTGTGAGCAGAAGCTATTCTTAATGGGACTTTTTGATTTCACGAACTGGAAAAAAGAAAAACCACAACCACTTGGTAAGAAACAGTGTACAATTTAGAAATTCGAGAACCAGTGAAATCCTTGGCATGACCTCCGATATCAGGTGATACCCACAGTGTACTCGAAAAGCTCCAAAGCCATGATGTCATGGGACGTGCTCTCACATCTTCTGACTGTCAACTGCATGTGTGACCTGTTAAAGTGCTGTTTAAAGGCTATCAATGAGAAAACTTTACAATCATCAGCTCTTCAGATTTTCCTCAATTGCTTCCTCATTATTGTATGTATCTCTCATTAGTGAACATTTTCACTAGGGAGAGATGTCGCTGCATCTATTCTCCTTAAAGTGCAGTATTTGCTTCAGAGCTCTGAAACCTTCCGACATTCAAAAAGCCCCTAAATCACCCAGAAGTCAAATTTTAATTCTGGTGTTGCAATTGTGTCTGCGACAAGCACAGATAGCCGTGAGAATTTTCTGAAATGGTGCCATAATAGTGGAGTCGCCCGCACTTCGTATTCTGAACGTGGCCCTTTGCTTATTTTGCTCTGTCCTTCGCTACGCTCCTCTTGTTGGTCTTTTCCTGTCCGAGTATTCCTCCTCATTGTGCGAGAACTCGATAAGCTGGGAGTGCGCTTAGCCGTCGCAGGCAGGCAAGCAGGTTCTTACTGCTGCTTACATAACCAGGTTCTCATGGTGATGTCGCAACCAACACTTGCAATACCGTAAGGCCCAGTGAGAAGAACGAGATTATTCCTTTTATTTCGTAGTGCACACACTGCGCATAACGCTGCCGTACTTGCTACTCTTGATCGTGACGGCATTCTGAACTTAGTGCGCATGCTTACTTGATACGATATAAAATATATGTCAAAGTTGGTTCATGAGCCCATTCAAAGCATGACTACACTTATACCTGCACTCTTGTTTGCTGAAGCGGTAGCCCGTGGAGCAGTCCTGCCCGCCTCCCTGGCAAGCACACGTGCACTGTTCTGGGTCCCAAGTTCGATCCATTGCTTCGCACTGGTGCTGCTTTTGTAGGTCTGGACAGAGGCATGCGCATTCCAATGCCTTGTACACCTGGGAAAATTGGGGAAGTGCAATGTTTCAAGGTGTGCTAAGACACTAGGAGCACCCATACAATGCAGCAGTCATTGCAGTACACTCAAACCTCATTACCACAAAGTCGCCACTTACCACAAAAATACTTTGTTATATCCGAAAATTTGTTATAAACATATATTTGTAGTACAGGGTAACAGAGCTATTCTACATTTACTGTATCGGTTTCGTTAAATTAATATTTGAGTGTACAGCATTGCTTGAATGAACACAATGAAATGTTAGAGCCAGTGAAAAAATATTTCTGTTTGAGAATTATAGTTACGTACCTTATTCGAAAATACTAGTGTCTTCTTCAACACTTAACAGTCTGTTTGCATGAGGAAGAGTTTCAATATTCATCGCTTTGAAAAGCAATTTTTCTTTGCAACACCTTTTTTTAGAATGTCTTGCCGCTGGGACCCATAGGCATGTGGGCACCCTTCTAATGGCCGCCTTGGAAAATGCAGTTTGTGTGGTCACCTGGTTTGGGCTGCAGTGGTAGTTTTTTGACAGGGCATTTGCAGCTGCACTTGGCATGCTCCTCCATGATTTCCTCAGCACACTGAACCTGTGTCTTGCCCCCAGTCACATTCACTCTCACCACCTGCATGTAACAGGGTGGCAAAAAAATCTATTGCAAATGAGTTCTGCAAAAACCCTGCAAGGTGACAGGAAGGGAACTGAGAAGCTCTCCTGTCTGAAAATTCTATACGGATTTTCTTGTGGCTTTTTGCTACAAAAGAGTGGCTGTATTTTTTTTTCTCTTTGTTAAGAAAAATCTATTGTAACAAGGCAATAATGGGTTCGTGGCACAAGGTAGTAGAGATCCTGGTCTGGGAGTGTGCCAGCCCACCTGTGTCTCAGCCATTGTCTCTCCCTATATTTCTAAATGTATCTTTTTCTTGTAATGATATATATACCTCTAGTGCCTCATCTTAGCTCTGTGTTCTGTATGTAAGATGCCTCCGTGGGAGTGTTCGAAGAGGCAAGGGGAGGAAGCTGTGCCACGGTGAAACTTAGCCCCTCCATTTGGAAAATCCTGCCCATGCCTATGCAGAGTAGTTCCTTCAATACACATGGCCATCGGATGCTTTGTTTTCCCCCTACTGTCAGACAAAAAGAAATTTTGCAAGTTGAATGCTCAACCGTGGTAGACATGAGCCACACTTGGTGAAAAACAAATGCTGTGAGCACATACTGGCAGCTTTCAGATGTTCAAACTTAATGTTGCAATAGTTACGTATTGCCATCTACTGCATGGTTAGAAATACCGGTATCATACTGTAGACTTGCCCACATTATAGCAAAAGCAAGTTTTTGTTGTGCACGTTTCATGCAAAGCGAGTCCTCTTGTGTATTACGCATGCCAGCATTGTGAATTTATGTGCATGTATTTAATCCCCTCTGGCATTCCAGAAATTGCATGGACAACACAAAGAAATTGAAAATGAGGCACCAATTTTGTTTACTGGAAGTTACTAAGTTATTAAGTTACTGGAACAGGTATGCTGATGGGATGTAAAGATATCGAACTCATGGGCAATGGCTGTAAGACCGGTTGGTCCAGCATTGAGTTACTGAGGCGAAAAACAGTGCAGGAAGAGGGCCTGTCCTGTTCTCGATATTTTTATCCTGTGCTTGTTTTTTTTTTGCTCAATGTCTTCAGTGTAGTCGTTGAACACAGTTTGACTATTTACATCTGTGCTTTTCATTGCACATTCCCAAGTTGATTCAGCCTAGAAAGATGAAAGTGCCTCTTTTTCATGTTGGCCATATCGTCTAGGGAGGCTAACATTTCCTGAAATGTGTAGAAAAAGAATTTTATAAATCCAATTATTTATTATTTTCAGTTCTTATATGGTATCATCCACTTCATCATGGAGTGTATTTTACACATGAATTTACAAATGCACTTTCACTGAACCCACAACTTGATTTGCTCCAGATTTAGTAACTTTCAACGCAAACATGCCCAAGACTCCAATTTTGTTTCCTTGCGTGTGTTGACGAGGGGTTTTGTGAAGAACAATTTGAACTACCCTCTCACGATAGCAAAAACGTCGCATCGTGTCTGATGTGGAAAAACGTCCAAATTAAAAAGACGGGTGGCGACACCACATTGAAATTCCCACACTAGTTACGTGACGTCGCACATTTTCACGGCACGTATAGTGTAGGGCCCACAAAGTTTCTAATCGGCAATAAAATTGAACTACATTGTCCTCCAGGTGGACAGTAGGTGAGTTAAACATACAACGTAATAAGTTTCGAGAAATTTTGTGAAGCCAATGTAACCAAAACACGAGAAAGGGCTGAAATTTGTGACCACATCACAGGATATATCTGTGGAAAATAAAAAAATGAAGCTTTTTATCGTTTATTTTCTCATCTATTAATACACTTATGTTGGTAAAGTTAATGACACTAAACTTTTCGGAGTATAGATGTATATCTTCATAATAGTCCATTGTTTCACTTTGGTGTCAGTTTCGTAAGTAACACTTCCGAGTATGCTATAGTAACTGTCGGTTTACTCGACGCACCTTAATGTTGACGCTGTTTTTGACCGTGGGCCAGCACTGGCGTCCCGCGTGGTCGCAAGCTCCTTCGCAGCGCTTCAGCTCCACCAGCCGTGGGAAGCGCAGCAGTTCGGGTGGCCCCGGGGGCAACGGCACCAGCTGGTTGCGCGGCCGGCACGTCGCTCGTCGGTCCTCGGCCAACACCAACTCAGCCACGCATAGCGGCTCTTCGAAGTCGGGCGCGTCTGTGCGCGAGGAACATGTTACATGTGGCATGGTTAGGCCAACCACGGCCGGGCTATAGACTGCACCTTCGCGCGCAGGTGCAGTCTGGCCCGGCCGCGAGTTTACAAAGGCGAGCGGATAGACCCACCCACAATGCACTGCGCCAGGCGCTCTTACGAGGCTCTCGGAAGCTGCGCGCTCATTGGTTCGTGCGTGATGTCAGCAAACATGGCTGCGCCCATGACGATGCTTCGGGCAGCTGCCAGGCAAGACTTCGCGCGCGCTGTGTTTGCTGAGGCGATCTTGATCGAGAAAAACGCCTTCCGAGCATTCGGGGGGATCCGCTCGCCTTTGTAAAGTCGCGATCTGGCCGTGAGCCAACGTAGCATGCACTGGGCGTCATCCGCTAGGGTCCGTGGAGGAAGGATCGCTAGCGTTAGGGTCGCCATTTTGGAGGTCCGCGCGCTTGCCGCACACGCTGTGTCTGAGATCCGTACGGCAACTTGAAAGTCTGGAAACCTCCGGAACACCTCCTGCACGCCTAAGCAGACAGCAGGACGGCGCATACGAACGGGCCTTCAAAATGGCCACAGCGAAGACGCGGTGCATACCCTCGATCACGACTCAAGCGAGCTTCACCGCTGCTGTTACTCTATTCGGAGCGAACTGGCATAGACGTTCACCCAAGCACAGTCTAGTTTGCATGCACAGTCTAGTTTGCATATTGGTCCAATGTCACCAGTACCGAGTGTTTCCAAACTAGTAAAGTCATATTTCTCGGAAGAAATGGCAGCATAAGATATAATCGAGAAATTTTCTAGAATTCGGTGAATGAGATCGAGGTACCCCCTACGTCATTCACGCCTCTAATTTAATAAATATTGAAATGGTGTATGAACGACACTCCTTTGGGAACACATGTGAATAGACGTGAGTATAAGCGTGAATTCAGGTAAGGCTGAATGTAATGCTGAAGATGACTAGATAGGACCTTGGGTCTGCAGAAGAAAGTGGAACTCGCTAAGACTCGCTTTAACTCAGACTTGCCAAAATTCTCCTGAACCAAACTCGCTCGGACTCGCGGCTCCATCTGAGAGAGTGAGTCGATTGCGAGTGAGTTCACCGACCTATGCCTATCGGGGATTAAAACGCTTTGCTCAGATAAGCAACGCTCAAGACCACTAAGTATTTCTTTTGTCGTAGGGCACCTAATGCAGTAACCTGGTCTTTTAACATAACCGCGAAAAGAAGAAAAAATTAAGCATATCTACGAAGTGAATGATGGCGAGTGGCCGAAGCTACGGGGATCTAACCCTCGCACATTCTTTCATAACAAACTGCACTCCATGACCATGAGAGAGAGAGCCAAGTGCGAGCGCGTTTTATAGCTTTGGGGTGCCGCAGCGAAATAGACAACGTGCCATGAGCGCACCAGTGATCATTGTTTTCCTTTTCTGCGATCGGTGCGCCCTCGGCCGGCGCTCCCATCACGTGCGAGCCACGACAACGGACATCGCAGGGACAAGGCTTTACCCTAAAGTGCTTCGCCCCTATACTTCTATCGACGTCTAGATTTTGCTGATTGTGAAGCCTTGGTAGTATGTTCCTGGAGTCCTGACCCATATATGCGAGCTGACCCAATATACGACACGTGAGAAAGGCCTTTGAAATCGCAACGTTATGACTTATTTGTCGACCTTCCCCCCTCCCTCTGGCTTCCCACTTCCGCAGTGTCCCGGTCCTTCCTTAATTTCGTGTCTACGGACCGGTAGATGGTGCGAGTTTGAGGCCCCTTTTTTACAGTGTTCACTTCGTGACGTCACAGACTGGTTCGCTGCGCTGGGTACCCAAACTACCGCCGGAATCGGCTCCCTTCGTGCGGAAAGAGCAGTCGAGTATGCCCGTGCTACAGTGCATGCACTCTATAGCCGTGCCCAAGCTTGGCGACCAATATTTGATAGTGTCAATGCAGAAGATATCGTTCTTTCCCCGCGTTCTTTTGTGTGTTAGCCCCGCTTCCTTTTGTTCACCAGCTGCGCCAAGGGTGAACACAAAGGAATGCGAGGAGCAATCGACGCCAATCCAATGTCACAGTTTCTTGCTCCGCTCTTTCCAGTAAGATTTCACGCAGTGCCTTACTAAGCTGGTACCCAAAGATGCCGGCCACGGATATTGCTGAAAAACCTTGCGCGCGTGTGTCGAGCGGAAACCGATCTTCTGGAAGGTCACTCACGGGAAACGATTACTCCACTGTCTCGAATATATTTTGGCAGGCACCGCAGGTAAACATACGTACCGAAATAATCCTCGTAGTCGTACAGGACAGGGCCGTGGCCAATTGCGTTCTGCAATATGTCGCAAGTAAAACACTCTTAGTGGACATTAAACGCGGTGGTCATGTATATACAGGGTGTTTTTTTTTTCTCGACTATACATACTTCTTTATTAAAAAATTGCATGAAATATGTGGAGGCGGAAATACTTCCTGCGCCTAGAACGACGTCGACTCGATGAATTAACAAAAGCTCGTTAATTAACGTTCTTATTTATTGGCTTGAGGACAGTTGTTTACATTAGAAAGTTGTGGTGCATTATAATTTATGGCATACCTATTTTTAGCCTGTTTCATTTGCCTGTCCAACCCGGAGGTCGCGGGATCGGATCCTGGTCCTTGCGGTTGCATTTCCTACGGAGGCGAAAATTCTAGCGGCTGTGTACTCGCATCTAGCTGCGTGTTAATTAAAGGGGCCCTGCAATACTCTTTGAGCATGGTCAGACAACGCTGTCGATTGGTATATAGTCGAGTCTATTGTGAGCACGCTAGCCAGATGTTATAGCGCATCACCCGGCCTAGAATTTACAATAACTTATCAGTCAGCTAAAAAAAAATTGCTTTTTCTTCTCTCGACTAATGATGCGACAAGCTCAAATATCACTCGTCACAGCCACTGTATCAGCCATTGTCTGTTTTGAGCGTGGCATGCTATAGGTCCGCAAAACTTGTGGCACTCACTACGCTCACTCATTAAATATATTGTGAGCTTTGGACTCGCTCAGACTCGCGAAAATTTTCCTGAGCCGGACACACTCGCACTCACAAAAATTTTCTTCAGCCGGACTCACTTGGACTCAAACTCACCTAAACAATACTCACCTAGATTCACTGAGACGGCAGAATCACGGCTCGATTAGAGTCTGAGTGAGTTCGAGAGTGAGTTGACTCATGAGTCTGCTATAGCCTATATAGTTAGCCGTGGTGCCAATCCTCTTTAGCACCAAATATCTCGCATAATTTGTTCTCTTCTTGGTGCCGTTTGACCTAGTATCGTCGAAAACGAGTTGGCAGTGCCCGAACCACTAAGGCCATTTTTCTTGGAAAAGATGACAGTATAAGATATAATACTCAAGAAATTCATTGGAAGAGTTGGCGAGGGGAAGTCAAAACACACCCTACGTAATTCACGTTTGTTAATAATAAACATTGAAACGGTGCGTGAACGACACTGCTTTGGAATACCTCTGAGTATAGACGTGAGTATAAACGTTAATCCAAATAAGGCTGATAGTAAAGGTTGATATGATTAGATGGGGCCTTAGGTCGCCAGAAGAAAGTGGAACTCGCTCGGACTCGCTCAACAACAACAATTGATTGATATGTGGGGTTTAACGTCCCAAAACAAAACCTCAACAACAACAAAAAATATATTTTTTTTTTTGCGCTTTATACTCACTCGGACTCAGAATCACCATAATGTTCCTGACCCGAAACTCACTGGTACTCGCACTCACAAAAATTTTCTTCGGCCGGACTAACTCGGGCTCATGAAACAGGCTCACGAAAAAAATTACTCACGGTTCGATCCGAGTCTGAGCGAGTTCGGCGACCTATACGACTCGTTACTAGGGCCGGCTCGGAAGGTCGTCACTTGATTTCAAGTATACTCTGAGCCTTTTTCCGTGTTCTTCTATACTGAACTGAACAAGGAAGTTTACTTCCGTAGTTTCTATATATAATGGTTCCGAGCTCTCGGGGGTTGTTAGGGAGGTGCTGGAACAGTGCATAAATCACCACCGAAAACAATTCTGTATATTATACAAGCTCGTACACGGACAGACCGGAAAGAAAGCCTACAGCAGCACTATGGCAGTGCGCTCGTGGTCCGTCACATGTTTTTTTTTTTTTTTTTCGAATTCACGGGCCTTTTTTACAACGTGGAAAAAATAACAGCGCGAGACGTATCGTACAGGGAACAATTTAGTCGGTCGTTTCTGAAAGTGCTCTACATCTCAGTGTTCATATTTTGGGTTTTCAGTACGTATTAAAAATAGGTAATTAGGAATTATAATTAATTAGTATAGGTAGAAACAAAGAGCAGTCTGAGTACCTACAGGCTAGTGCGAGTAGTACGCGCTTGGTTCAATTCGCCACTGAAGTGCCTTTCATTTTCAAATTCTTGGCTCAAGTTATGTGGGACACCCTGTATATAGTTAGCGCAAAGAATCGCACAGACAGATCAAGAAGGGACACATCGCTATCTCGTCTTGCTCATTCACCGTCCGTGAGATTCCTTGTCTTATAACCACTATGAGCTATATGTTTACAGCCACGCACAGAATGACTTGCAACACGCAGTCTATAGGCTTAAAATGGTGCCACGGAGCACTGCAAATCGGCACTTGCATAAAGAAAAATGGTGAATTAAGCTATCTCAGATAGCGGTACTTTCTGAAGCAATTTGTCGTTTGTTAGTGTCATTGTTCAGGCTTGGGGTCACTATGGCACAGTCAGCGAACAGAAAAATCGCAAGGGGGGCGGGGCACCTGTTGCTATATGGCGGCCATTTGAGTTTTATAAATATTCGTTTTAGTTTTAATGACATGAACATTCATATAACAACATCGACATAAAATAACAAAAACCAACGCATTTCTTTATATACCGTAACATAACCGCTGTCGAGCAACCTGATTTCCTCTACTTTGACAATGGCTTCCGCCTATCTAAAACATAAGTGTCTAAAGCGTGATAAAGCATAAAAATCTGCGCACCACCCGTCATACTGAATCATCTGCGGCGCGTCATCGTGGAGAACTTGTGGAAGATTGTGATTCTTGGTACGAAAAGTAACTTTCAGTTTTGTCCCCTCTTCGGAAGCACGATTCCCCCTCCTCTTCCAGTAGATGTGAGTGTTTTTTGGAAGGGTTTCAGAATTCAGAACTACGGAGATTCAGTTAAACTCTCAAGTGAATTAAATGTGTTTGAAAGATGAATTCCAAGAGGGAGGGGGGCACTTGCAAGGGGTGTCTCCCCTTACAAGTGCCCCCCCCCCTCCTGGGATTTATCTAACTGTATTTAACACGGAAGGTCTAGACTCCCCTGACCCCCACGATTTACACCAGTGGCTGGTGATTTATATTTACATTACGCAATCACTCACCTTATGATGCTTGGGCGACAGCTGTCTGAAAATCTCGCGGAAGAGTTCTTCGCGAGATATGGAGAGCGAGCCTGCTGCCGTAGCGTAAAAGGCCAGCGTCAGCCATGCGGCGCGCATATTGTGTGTCTGTCAACCGGCACGCTGCAGCCACGGTTGGGTGCCCGGCGCCCGTCGGTCTGGAGGATTGCCGGACGTCAACGCCAAGGCATCCCGCCGTGAACTGCGCCGGAAGGGCAGCGCTGATCTGACCGAACACATTGAGTAGGTACGGACGTCGAAGCCACGTTTCCGGGCCCGTCCTTCTCTCTCTTCAGCCTGTCGGAAAACGGAAATCTGTTAAGACGTTCTTGCCTCGCAGATGTTTTTGTATTCAAGACCCCGAATCCATCGTAAAATACACCTATTGTTAGGGCGTTTATTAGCCGGCACACAGCGAGCATACACAATGGCGACAGTAACGGCCAAGTGCGGACTCTCCACGCGAGCGGCGTCCTTTTTGTTTAGACTCACTAGAAAGCACTAGAGAGTTCGACCCATTTGAGTGTTCGGAGGCTTCTCTACATTATGAACTAATAATATTCTTTTTGGCCCATGGACGTCGCCAGGGCTGTGCAAATAGACCCCCCTCCCCCCTCATGCCACACCGGAACGTACCCCACACCCAAAGTACACAAACGCTTCCTCATCCTACCCCAGCAGTAATTTGTAACATGGGTTTGCACCCCCCCCCCAAGACAGAATGCTGTCGACGCCCATGCCCTGGACATAGGCGCGGCCAAAGTTCTGGAGGGGGGGGGGGAGATCACCGTAGCCCCTATTCCCCATAGCTGTGCGCGCGGGGGGGGGAGGCATGCCCCCCCCTTGTCACACATAAGACGAGGGGGTGGCAATTCGCCCCATACTTAGAGCTAGTATGGAGGCAGTGGCGTAGCAAGCCGGTGTCACCCCCTCCCCGAAATTTTTTTTCCCCGTGGTATACATGCAAAGCACAGAATCGACCGACCACACTGCCTGCCCGGACCCCACTTCAGACCAAGGAGGTGCACCCGCGAAAAAAAATTTTCTGCCTACGCCGAATCTTATTCTCTGAGTCACATGCTCTGGCAGTGTCCTGGGTTAGAGGACTTGAACCAACAAGCAGGCTGGACGACGGCAATCAAAGAGCCTAGACAATGCAACGTCCAGCTTCGCGCTCTCCAGAGGGTCCGTGAACGTACTGAAAGGTATGGCCTCTCTGTTCCGACGTGGGACTAGCCGACGGCTAGGTGGACCTACCTAATTGGCCCTCTGCATCGCCTCTCAGGACCAAAATAAAATTGTTTCTCTGTCTGCAGGGTTAGGAGGGGGAAGGCTGTGAAACCCCCCCCTCCCCTAAAGGGGAACACCCCCTCCGCCATTTGGGAGTCCGACTGAAAGGATTCGCGATTTATGCAAGAATGAAATTGAGGCGATGACACGTGCTGCTCTAAACGGACCCCGACTTCAGGGGCGAGGGGAAGTGGGGGTGGTAAAGGTGGGTCTGACTGAGTAAAATGAAAGGACCCTGCAATGCGGTCAGAAAACACCGCGGATCGGTAATTGAGGCTCCTGATGGCATGTGACCACAGCACGCAATCTTGGACGTACGATTAGTGCTCAAAGTAAGCCAGCAATCGCTCACCCTTCCCTCGAAAAATGATTCCATTAACCGAAATTGCCGCGCATAAACCCAAAATCCATTCCTTTGCCGATAGCACTGCCGATAGCATATTTGAGCATCGTAAGCAGCCCTGCCACTGTGCTCTAGTGGCCAAGGTACTCGGCCTGCTAACCCGCAGGTTTCGGGATCGAATCCCGGGTGCTGCGACTGCATTTTCGATGTAGGCGAAAATGCTGTAGGCCCGTGTGCTCAGATGTTGGGGTGCTCGTAAAAGAACCCCAGGTGGTCGAAATTTCCGGAGCGCTCCACTACGGCGTCTCTCATAACTATACGGTGGTTTTGGGACGTTAAGCCCCACATATCAACTTAGCATTATGAGCTACGTAACATATATAGTTGTCGGGGCCGCCACGTGCCCGATCGCTCGTGATCGCACTGACAGTAAGCCACGTGTTCGAAAAAAAAACGTGTTCACGGATCAATACGCGAGTCGACGAACGGGCTCTTACATCTCTTATTGTGATTGAGCCCGATCAGGATAAAATTTCTGAGTTGTGATTGGCTCTTCTGCAGCACGCCTAAATGATCCAATCACGATCGTGACATTCGATCCGCATCAGCCCCGATCGCGGCTAACTAACAGTCAGCGTGTGACACCAGTATAACTGAAGAATATTGTGACAGTTGATTCGTGAGGCGAAGAACTCCTTTAATGAAGCCATTCGATGAATACCAAAAAAAAAAGTTCTGCTGGGCCCCCTTGGCTTGTTTGTAAACTGCATAAGGCTGCCAAGGTAAACAGGGATAAGTGATATGGACATACTGAGGCGCTTGTGGCGACGTCTCGCTCGCTGGATTCCGTGCCGACCGGTTGCGCCCTTGCGATCTCCGACGACAGTGCAGCTCTGGCTGACTGGGTTGGTCCTACGCCACTTCCTGACGCCGGCCCCCGACGACGACGACAGCGTGGAGCTCTGGCCGACTGGATTAGCTCTACGCCATCTCCTGTTGCCGACAAGAGCTCTTGCCAGTGGTGCCCCTTCCTCGGACTCCTGCGACCGTGTTTCATCTTTCCTATCTTCTCTTTACTTCCGTTGTCGCTTGCTGTCCCTGCGCATCTCTCTCTCTCTCTATATATATATATATATATATATACACCTTTAATCATACCCCTTTAATCCCTCCTTACCCCCATCCCTTGTGAGCTACTGTTGAGGTGTCGCACCAGATGCAGACAGTTACGGGGCTCACTTTTCTCTTCTTTTCCCTTTTATAACCACATAAGTAAGTAAAAGTAGCGACGCGTAGGCTCCGCCCAGCCCAAATCTCGCCACCGCTCCCTGCCATCACGTGGCAACTGGCATAGAGCATCGGGGAGGAGCACCTGCTCCGAGGGATGCTCCTCTTCGACATGCTTTGCTCGGAGGCAGCTTTGAAAGTTCCGTGCCAGTTGTCACGTGATCATAGTGGCGAGCTTCGGACTGGGCGGAGCGTACGCGTCGCGATGTCGCTACAAGTGCAATGTCGGCGGCACCTACATGGAAACCGTATAACTTGACGAAGGACGAAAGCAAATGTGATTGGTGCGGAAGAAGATGGTTCACGTGGAGCACGCGCCACCCTTCCAGCCTAAAAAGAAAAAAACAAAGACGAAAGTGGTTAAATAAATAAGAAACTAAATAGATAAATAACATCAATTGCATTTGCCAACCGACTGATGTCAGGAGATGTTTTTCGTCAACTATTGTGGGCCTGTGGCGCAACGGATAACGCGTCTGACTACGGATCAGAAGATTTCAGGTTCAAATCCTGGCAGGCTCGGATAAATGTTTTTGTATTTTTTTATCTACACGCTGAGCGAGAGAGAGAAGACATGCAACAAATATTCAACTCAAGCCCACTAGCAGGGTCGACGCTAGTCGAAAAAATGGCAGCATATCCACGGAGTGAATGATGGAGAGTGAGGCGAAGCATTAGTCCGTCCATGCGTCCATCTGTGTGACCGTCCATGCGTCCATTCTCCCGTCCGTCCGTGCGTCTGTTCGTGCGTCCGTCCCTGCGTTCGTCCATGCATCCACCCCTGCGTCCGTTCATGCGTCCTTCCATGCATCTGCCTGTGTGTTCGTTCGTTCATCTATTAATACAACACTCCAAGTACCACCATCTCGCATCTTTTCATCATATGTTCCCCCATATAGAAGCACCGCCATCCAGCGGACATTCCAAGGACTAAGCGAGAGGTGGCACACGCACACTTTCTTACGGTTTGCGCTTCGGGTCTACTTGTTCATGGTATATACTAGTTCACTGTATTCATGGCACTGCGGCTCAACGCTCGCTAAACCTTTCTAAAACCAAGGAAGTTACGCCCAGCGAGTATAACGTAGCAACCCTTTCTTGTCAGATAGTGCTCAATGTACATGCAAGCAAATGGCTGCCAATGGCTGCTAATGGAAAATGGGAGACAGGAGAATTCGGCTTTTACTTTTTTACGGCTTGCGCTTCGTATCTACTTCCCACCTTCAACCACCTCGAGTGCATAGTATATACTAGTTCACTGTATTCATGGCACTGCGGCCCAACGCTCGCTAAACCTTTCTAAAACCAGGAAAGTTACGCCCAGCGAGTATAACGTAGCAACACTTCCTTGTCAGATAGTGCTCAATGTACATGCCAATGGCTGCTAATGGGGATTCCAGCGTGCGCGTTACCTAAAAGCCGAATGCTCCTGTCTCTCATTCCCCATTAGCAGTCATTGGCATGTACACTGAGCACTATCTTCTATTGTTCAACAACGCACAGAAGAAATATCTCACCGGCACCACCTTGGAGGTCAAAATGTTATACTTGTTACACACTACAACGGCTACGAGGGATGAACAGGTGCCGCTATAAGGAGCTTCGCCCCTAAAAAGTGAGACCAGAGAGATCAAAGGTAGCTCCCGCGCTTTTTTAGCTATCGTCGGAGCACAGGCTCTGCAGAGTGGGCTTGAGCTGAATGACTTTTGCAACAATGCGCCGTCCCTCTGGCTGTGCTTTGATAAATTTACATTGCAATATGTAAAAAAAAAATGATTGAATGCGCGAAGTGAAAAAAATTACATCGAGCCTGCCAGGATTCGAACCTGGAATCTTCTGATCCGTAGTCAGACGCGTTATCCGTTGCGCCACAGGCCCACGTCAGGCGAAGGTGCGCAAAACAATATATATTCTTATACAAACACAAAAATCGATTATTTTCATAATGTAGAATTATTATTTGTGACAGTGTACTTCGGGTGCAGTCATTATAACGTCATTTACAGAAATACAAAACAAACAGTATCATTTCTTTATGTTTACACAGGGGCTCATCATGGCTCTTGCCCGACGTACGATAACGAGTTTCGGCTGAAACGTTTCCATGCCGGCAAATTTGTGTGAGCCAACTCGCCGGCGTTAAATTCGAATGTACGAAGTTTCTCGCGTAATTTCGCCTCGCAATGGGTGTCGTCGCTTTATTACCGCCACGATATGTTCAGCTGCGCGTGAGTGCGCGGCACAGATAGGCCTTTGACATCGCGAACGCGCGATGTTATCTTTTCTTCCAGTCTGCGAATCGAAGTCAGCTGCTTGAGTCACCTTGCTCGTTTTTCCTCGGGGGTAATGTTTCATTCTCCGTTATTTTCTTGTTCGCATTATGCTAATGTCATTCCGCTGGTGAAGCGCGTTCCGCGTGGCATTCTTGATTGCCTGCTTCGATCGATCCGAACTGCAGTCATTTGCTGGTGTGCGTTCACTGAGGGAATCATTTATTCTACGGCAGAGAACCTCCGTGCTATGTATTGCTTACCTGATCTATCGCTATGCTCTTTAGGCAAATTTCGCCTACGCGATCAATCTCGTCGATGTCGCGAGCTTCTCGCGTCGTCGTTTCTGGCCGACTGCGGCCCTGCAGTGAACCGTCCAGCCTGTGAGCGCAAATTGTTATTTCATCCGCGCCGATTCTGTGCAGGCGCTTTTGGAAGTAGCCTTCTTTAAAAGCGTGTGTGTATGTGTGTGTGCGAGAGAGAAACTGATCATTGTCGCCAGTTGCATCTCCACAGCGAGCGGGGCAAACCAAACCGGCTGCCCTAAAAGTTTAATGACCCTCTCGGGCTAAGTTTATCCGTGTCAGCTGAGCCGTAAGTTTTCAACCGCTGGTTTCAAAGGTGAGATGAGGCGGTTTTACCGCGTTTTGTCGTTCGACTGCGTAACAAGACTCGGTTACGGCGCCCGCACCGTTTGCAGGCGTCGTGATATCTTCGCGATACACGTATCCGACCTTGGACTCCGTTCGTGGCGTCGTCGTCAGATGTATACGGTGCCTCTTCTTATCCGAACGAAAGACGGCTCGGTCATATCACTGCGTACTTCTCGCCTTCGGGGGGCAATGTTCGCGCCCCGAGGTGTGCGACTTCGCGGTGTTGCTATCCAAGTTGCAATGTGGAGGAGATAGTTTGATCATACTTTTTAGGGACTTCCATTCGATCTGTCGACTACACTCGCCTTCGCCTACGTTTTCCCGACAGACATCGGTTAAAGAGCGCTTCACATAATCCCATATTCCCGCGTGCAATGTGTAAGGAGGCGATTCCCTCAAAAAATGCATACGTTACCAAGATATATCAAAAGTTGTTTCTGATATATCTCCACATAGGGGCAGTTAACACGCAGAACCTAATGATTTGTCTTTGAGTAAAAGTATTCATTTGTTTGGTTACAGATTAAAGGGGGAGTGCTAAGGGTGCACTGTCGATCGGTTTACCAGCTGTAAGCACTCAGTATTCACTCACAGTGGGGACGCCGCTGTGTATTGGTTAACCAGCTGTATGCTTGCAAGGAATGAGGAAATGCACAGAGGAGCGTGCCAGTGCCGACTAAATTTAAATGGCTGCAATTGCTGCAGCTGTGGGTTTTTATAGAATCGGTGCACATGATATCTAAACTGTGCTTCTAGCGTACCAGTTCTACCATAATTGCTCTGATTTTTAATGATACAAAGGAGTGAGTCACTATCACTTAACATTTTTTATAGAAGTTGCATTGGCAGTTGAACACACAAACTTTCATATGTCACTAATAATAGTGTTGTGGAGTACTTTATATCAATACTTGTTAGTTTATGCTAGGCTCTGTTTCATAATGAATATTGGTTTACGCCTTCTTCCCAAGTTAAAGCTGGACTGTACTATGGTGCTTGTTTTTCCTATACATTATTTATTTATAACGTCTTTTTTTCACAGCGAGCAATGTCTTATAGCATCGCTTGAATTTTGCTTGGTGCAGAATGGTATTGTGACAAGCCTCAATGGAGACGGCCACTTTCCACAGCTCGGATAATAAGGGGGCTAAAGAGGCTGTGCCGAGAAGAAACAAGAGTGTGCCGTATGACGAAGAAGTGCGGCCAAATGCCACCGGGCAACCAGCTGTGGCAGCATTTCAACTGCAGGTGGTGGAAGATTCTTCAACCGCGGACCACTCCTATGATCGCGGCAAGTGGCAAGGTCGGCTTGACTTCATCTTTGGCTGCATCAACTATGCCGTCGGCCTGGGCAACGTGTGGCGCTTTCCCTACCTGTGCTATGAAAATGGAGGAGGTGTGACACTGTTTTCTGGTATAATCTTTATGTGGAGGACCCCAATGTTCCGAGTTGACCTCAACATCATAACTGTTGCCATCCATTACTACAAAAGGCTGTCGAACTAATGCAATCAGTGTGGCCAGTCTTTAGTTTGGCCAGCCTACACAAGTATGCCTAGCTTTAAATTCAGCAATTTAGTTTAAGGAAATACTATGCGAAATGATCGCAGCTAATATATAAGGAGATCACAGACATTTGTGCTCTTTGGCTCAGTAGCTATGCTAAATGTAAACTATTTACCTTTCAGAATGTGCTTCTTTTTTGTTATTTTTTTACCACATTATTTGTGTTCACAGTAAAAGCTTAGTTTTTTTTAATCTTTCCGGTTCTCGTTCAACACTGCCATTCGCTAGATCAAGGATCTAGCGAAATTCTTGGGGACAATTTTTTTCTTTTTAATCAATACTTGGCATAACCATCTACACTATAAAGTTTATTGAACATCCTATATTATGCAGAATATTAATTATTATACATGTTTGAAATGTAAGCCAGCCAGTAAGTGAAAAAAGGGGTACTTGAATTTCTGCGTAAACAACTATGTGAAGGTACCTTGTGTTGCCTGATGCCCTGCTGTCCAAATTTAGCACAGTAGTGACATTTTACAGCTCTTTATTAGAAGTAGGTTTTTAAAAATGCTAGCTGTGGGCGCACTTTGCTTTTGCAAGTGAAAAGCTTCCATCGTCTCCCTACTTGGCTGGAAAATCATTCCTTTGCAAATCAAGTCGTTTGGGGTTTTCATCAGATGGCAGAACCACTCTGCTACTGCTGCTTTTTTTTTTTGTACCTCACAGATGTTGGTAACGGCAGTTTCTATTTTTTGCAGGGTTTCTCTTGCTTATGGTTACACATGTGCATAAGCTCTTGTTGTTATTTTGTCAGATAAAGCAGACAGGAGCTAATTTCGGGTTTGTGTGTGCATTTATTCTGATGTTTACACCATTGAGTGCAATGTTAGTGGGAAAAATAAAAAAAGAAAAAATTGTGGCAGCATACAAATTATAGAGGCATAGAAACTGTTTTGACAAAAGGAGGGGCCTACATCATAGGACAGTGGTCTTCCATAGCAGCACTTGCGTAGCTCTCTCTGCCTTCAGTCAGGCGGGATGAGCATGATTCAGGGCAAGAACGTAGAGTGAGCAAAAAGGAAGATGGGTGTAATTTAGAAGATGCTAGTTATAAAAACAAGGAGAGGCAATTAGTGAAGCAGGTGCAATAAAAGATATGTAACCAAACGGAAACTAACCTCTATGTGTAAGTTTGAGCGTAAGCAAATGCACCAATGAGCTCATGGACACTTGCAAAGCAGACGGTTCGTGCACCGTCCTCACGCACTGGTAAATCTAATTTACAGGTGCTTTCCTGGTTCCTTATTCGTATGCCTCATCCTGACAGCCATTCCTTCATTCCTTCTTGAGGTGGCCCTTGGACAGTATGTTTGTCGTGGCGGCATTGGCGTGTGGAAGCTTGTGCCCATTTTCAAAGGTATTCCTTGAAGGCAGCTTACTAGTACGAGAGGAACTGCCCTTCTCTCAAGTGGGCGCATTTCAGTACGAGTTGTTTATTTGTCCTTTATTTTTGTTCATGACCGCAGGTGTGGGCATCGCTTCCATGGTGATGGTGTTCTTTTCGAACGTGTACTACATTATTGTGGTCGCATGGATTATGTTCTACCTTTTTGCGTCCTTCACTAGCAATCTTCCGTGGCAGGAGTGTGGCAACTACTGGAACACTGAACGCTGCAGAGAACCGAATGGGACCAACCTCGCCAACACCACCTTCACCACACCTGTCCAGGAGTACTGGGAGTGAGTGTTCATGTCTCGGAACATTTGGTTGTAGAACAGGCAGCACTGCAGCCAGTGGCAGAGTCCCTAAGCATCCATATGTAACCATGGGGATGGTGACAATATATGGTTGGATACTGACATCTGTAATGAGCTGTGAACTACCAGAAATGTAGTCTGTAGAGCAGTGTAAAAACTTGCATCCAATACCATGAAGTGTAAAAGTGTAATGCTTTGATATAGTAGAGCATTGAAAAGGCTATGGCTGATATTTCACCAGATATTGAGAAAGTGCTTGCGAAGCCTTTGGCAAAATTTTTGGCCGTTGCAAAACCTCTTGTCAGTGCGCAGACTGAATTTCCTTCTTTGTGTCTTGTTTTCTACGTACTGCACTTGTATAATAAGTTTGTGTTGCAGGAAACGTGTGCTCAACATCTCTTCAGGACTTGATGACGTAGGCAGTGTGCGCTCTGAGCTGGCGTTGTACCTGCTGCTGTCATGGGCCATTGTCTTCCTGGTCACATGGAAGGGCATTCATCAGAGCGGCAAGGTGAGTCTACCTGCATTACACAGATTGGTAAGGTAATCTTTTTTGGGCCTGCTACCTCATCACTATTTTCTGGTGTAGCAAATGCTTATCTGAGGGTATACTGTGTTAACGATGAGCTTGATATTCTCAGAAAATGTGCCGTCTTTCAGAGGTGCCTGCTGTTGCACTTATTTTACCATTCCTTTATTATAATTCATTTATTTTCAAATGGCACCACAGAATAGTACAAGAAACACGCAATAATACACGGACATGAGCACATATAATGTCCTCGGCATATGAATAAACATCACATGAGAGTGGGTGATTTTGTTCGTTCATGTGATCTCTCTCTCTCTCTCTCTCTCGTTTTTTTTCTGTGGTGCCATTACAAAATAATTGAACCATACTTTGAAGACCAACTCTTACAATATTATGGACTGCACAAAAAAAAAAGTTTGTCTTCAATGGCACAGATACTTAGCAGCCTTCTTGTAAGATTTTATGTTTGATACGCAAGCAGGTATGCCATAAGATGTTTCCAAAAATACGTGTTTTTGATGCTAGAGCTGCAAAAACTGTCACTAGTGTTACGTCTTCCGTGAAGTGGTGGATAAAAACGAACTAGTTCGGCTTCTTAGCATGACGTCAAAGATGCGGTGTCAGTGTCGGGTAAAAATTTTTTAGGCAATGGGTGCCGTGATTCGTGTAATTTCAGCCAACCAGTACAATGTGTATGTGTAGGTTTGTCTCTGAGCTTTTAATTAAAAAACTGAGTAATTAGTGCTAGTCCAGTAGCATTGTCAACATTTTCTTTGTATTATACATTTTATATTACTCAGTTATTTAACAGTTTAGCCAATGTAAAGTTCAGTGCTAGTCCAGTAGCATTGTCAACATTTGCTTTAAATTATGTATTTTATACTGCAGAGTTGTTTAACAGTTTAGCCAATCTAAATTTTTGTTCCCGTTTGTTTTAAATGTTCAAGTATTTCACTTTTCTCCTAATTAGCACGTACATACATAAGACATGCAGTCATTCACCTATGTTGAAGCAGATGTCTGTATTTTCATGCGTATTGAGCAACGCTCCATTACTTTGGATTTTCTTTTCGTATTTATGCCATAGCCTACATGCTGAAGTGTACCCAATACTTGTACAAAGCATACTGCATAGCGGAAATGCAGATGCAGGGAGGCGACTTCATTTACAATGCTAATTCAGTTGCTGCACTTGCTGTGAAAACTGTGCGAAGGTGATCACGTGACCCTTTTTTTGCAGATAATTTGGTGTACAGCCCTGTTTCCGTATGTGATACTGCTGGTGCTGCTTGTGCGAGGTGTGACTCTGCCTGGTGCCGACGCAGGCCTCCTATTCTACGTGACGCCCCAGTGGGGAAAGCTGCTGGACCCTCACGTAAGCCATTAGGACTGCAGGTTTTGCTTTCGCCATCTTTTTGAACTACAAAGTTGTGTCTAACAAAGAAACTACAGGCTCCTAAATTACCCTTCCTTCATTCATTCGTAGCGAGGTTCTTGTTCAGGAAGATTTGGTGCCTTCACGTAATATGCTAGGGCTGTTTGATCAGCTACCAACTGCCAAAAAAAGAACATTCCACACTTGCCATCATGGCTAGAAGCGGCACTGACTAGCGCTATTTGGTTTGCATGTGCAGAAATGCACAAAAAAGTGGATGGGAGGATGTATGCCACTATAGCTTCACTGGTGGAGCATCATTGTGCGTTATTTGAAGGTTGCGGGTTCAGTCCCAGCCGGTGGAAAGTTGTGTTTTTATCTGCTTTATTTCTCCACATTGATCCAAAATACAGTTTAAGGGACCATGACACAATTTTTGTGTTATAATGGAATAGTCTCACTAATAGTGCTTGAAGCCTTAGGAATGGCATGCCACAAAAATTTGTAAAATCTGTAAAAATTGCAAAAATTTGTAAAATCAGGCGGAGTTACAGGCACTTTTAAAGGTACCCTGAAATGGATTTTTGAAGTTTTCTCAGCTATTAGGCTAGAGCATCATCAAACCATCCGCACCACAAATTTAGTGACATGCCGTGTACCAAGGCCACTACAAACAACTGTGTCATACCTTCTTTCTCACGTCTGCCTGGCCTCCTCAACTCGTGAGGCATGCTGGAATCGCTGGAAATCGCAGAGCTTTCGTGAGTGCACTCGACGATTTGAGCTTTTACCAATCTAGACCTCCGAAATAGAACGCCGACAGGTTGTGCGCAGTCTCGGAGGCCATCACATAGTGCACCTGACAGCACACACACTGTCTGGCAACAAAGACGAAGATCGCGGAGTGACTCTTATCTGCTTCAACAGGTGCCACCATCCTAACAGTTGATCTTCAGCACATTCTACACCCATGACAGCCAGTCAGATCAGCAGCCGCGGTGACGTGGCTGCTGACGTGCTCTGGCCAATAGAATGTCGCTCTGTGAATGGGCGATTCAAAACGCGTTGGGCCAAGTTGCAACGATCTGCAGCGATCGGCAGCTTTAAAGCGTTGCAACAGATTACACAGTTTACGCAGAGAGCTCAAATCAGTCTAAATAACCCTTGCGACTTGGTCTATCAGCCCAATGCGTTGGTACAAAATTGGCAAAACGATTTGAGGGTCCCTTTATTAAACACTTTCTCTCTCCTTTTGTACCAGCAAGAGTGCTCAGACCTGCACAGGGAAGAGGATGACAAGGGAGCAAGAATATGCGTCCCTCCATCAACGCTCATCACGACCTTGAGCACTTTTCTTTTTTTCTTCAAGTGCACACCTTACTTTTAGTGTGATCACGAGCTTGCGCATAGGCACAGGGCAGCATACTGCTGCTAACACATTAACTATGCAACTCATAGTGCTGGAATCAGCCATCAGCTGTGGACTTTAAATATATGGCACAGTAATTTGGGTATATGGCATCATTTGTAGAGAAAAGAGTGAGCTATTTGTAGCTGACTATAAGAATTGATTGTAAATTCGAGCCATGTGCTGCACTAAAGTGTTTAGCCCGCGTGTGGACCATGCTCAAGAAATATGGCAAGGCCCCTTTAAGGTATATATTGTCCCTTATATTTTCTTGGCATCATTGACTGTTGGTTATCACTAAGTTTGGTGCTAACAAAGAAACAACGAGCCCTTAGATTTCTCTTCTTTTTGTAAATACTAATGCTTATTTCATCAACTGCAGCCTTGGTTGAGTCAGTCATGCTCCTCTTTAGCGAATGTACCATGTGCCAAGAGGACGATACCTGGTATTGCAAGCACACAGTTGAAGCTTTCGCATTCTTATGTTTAGAGTCCCATGGCCTTACTGGCCACAACCACAGCAACCCCCTTAGTTTTCAAATTTAAGTAAATGTATTTTCGCGTGTTTAGCCTGCTTAGAATAAAAGCTTTGTGTGTTTTGAGCGCACTCCCTGACTTTGCAGAAGAAATTCGTTCAACAAGTACTAACATGATGTACCTGTTGCACCGGTCATGGAAAGGTAATCTATAGGCACGTAAAAAGACTTATAAACTTAAACTCTTCATTATTCAGAGACTGCGGGTGCAGCAAACGTCTCAATGTGTATTCTGTTGCATTGCATCAACAGGCCAGCTTCGGTGAAATGATGTGTCAGGCCAGTCCACATATCCACGATAGAAGAGACTTATGAACTTTCGAGATAATTTTGAAATACAAGAAACAGATGTCAGAACAAGAGTGTCTATGTAGCAATAAATACTAACTTCGAGCCATTGCAGACGAAAGAAGAGAAAAACAAACCAACCTGGGTTACCAATACTATTGCCATGCCTAAATGCTTGATGGGCTTGCGTATGAATATTTGTGGAGATTGTACTGCTTAAAAATCTGTAACAATTAGTATAATCTCATTCAATTTTAAGGCTTCTCCATCACAGGTGTGGATAGCTGCCGGCACCCAGGTATTCTACACGTTTGGCATCGGCTTCGGCTCAGTCATAGCCCTGGGCAGCTACAACAAATTCCACCACAACTTCTTCAGGTTTGTGTTTGTTCTGTCTGCATAAACCATGAAGCATTTTTTGAAAAATGATATTTAGTAGCTTTTAATCATCAGGACATTGACAGAAGTATCTATTGTAAATTTGCTTTGGCGGGCAATAACATGCAGACCTCTATTTCATTGTAAATTTCTTGTTCAGTGTGCTGTGCCTGCCACTCGAAATATGCTCTAAATCAAAATAGAAGCGAAGGAAAAAAATGCCAGATCTGCGTGAAACGCACATCTCGGTCACAGTAAAAGCTTAAAGAGTTGCCTATGTAAGGCCTGCTGTAAACTCGCTTAGGGAAACTACGTAATACAAGTACACTGGCAAGATACCCACGACACTTGAAATCATAATTTTTGTGAAGTAGCGAAGCACCTACCAAATAGTATTCTTCATTCTGTGGAGAAGCGAGGTATTGCTACACATCTGTTAAGAATTACGTGCACTTTGTTGATCCTGTGGCTGATGATGATGAATAATTATGGCTGAGCCCTTTGTAAAGAGTTGAATCCATTTAACAACCAACCCTCCCATTATGCAGTTCGTGCTGTGTGATGTTTTTTTGCTGTTTTACTCTTCTACTATGATATATTACGTATGTTAACACAATCCCTTAATTGGCATGACGCATGTATGTATTTATTCGAATCTAAGACAATATATATTTTTATTTTTTTTGCATTATACTCTAGGGTCGGCTTAGATTTGAAAATTTCGAAAAACGCGTCATTCTGCATTGAGAAAAGCGGTGCACAACCAGTGCCACATAGATGCCAATATAGCCGTTATAGACGCGTTGTAGCCAAGCTAATAGCTGGCTTGAGTACACACATGAGGCCGCCATTTTGGTCATTGTAGTGAGTGTTGAGGCGAGCATTTGTCATTTAAAGTCGTGCTTAGAGTGGTTTGTGTGTGGCTTCAATGGCGCCAAATAGGTGGTGTCAATATAGTGCCGCTTATAAAAAGAACATTGTCCAAGTTGCGAAGTCTTCGTTCAACGTTCAAGCCGGATGGGACTTTGGGGTGGAATGTCACTGGAGGGGCTGCGGCCTGGGACGACAACCCGGGAACTTTTATTGTGTGCTTTTTTAAGAGGTGCGGCATATCCAATGCACTTGGTAGCACCGAAGATTGCGCACTGTTTGAAGACAGCGACAAAGAAGTTACCAACACAGCATTTTTTTGATGAGTGTGGCATTTTTATGATGCAACTAGAAGCAGTGGGAAAAATACAGCAAAGAAACACATGAACAGCACTTGCGACTGTATTAGATGCAAAGCAGCTCTTTGGCTTACATGTGTAATGCCATATCCACATGTGTCCGTATGAACGCTCTGCAACGCGTTCTCCTCGCTGCAGGTGTTGAAGTGGTGCCAAGTAGGTCATGCCGCAGCTGCACATTGAATCCATGCTACCCTCGCACGCTTACCTCGCTGGTGCGTGCTGACATCACTCTCTCCCTCACCCATAGCACGCTCGCCGCAGCTGTCGGCTTTTCCGCCCACTACTCGCGACACACTTCTCTCTCGCTTCACCCTCTGCACCGCCAGCAACACTTGACTGCACGTTGAGTGGAAACACTTTTTTAACTCGTTTGTCAGCGAAGAAACTTTCGTGCTTTTGCGTCTCGTACAAACATGTACTCGAGTAAATGCTACACCGAGTTTCACTTCAAATTATTCTTCTAGCACCCGTGTCGATGCTCATTTCAACTGGGTCAACGCTGTGCGCACCACTTCTGATTCGCATCCCATCAGGGTTCTCTTTGGGAAGAGGGTCCATAATTTTTGTTTCTCGAGTTATTTGCATCATGAACCAACTGCTTTGCTTCATATCCTCTAAATGTTTCCTCTTTGTGAACGCTGTCATCATTGTTTCACTCTGCCTACACTCGCGGTAAGTTTTTTTTCTCCAAGCTTAGGACTTTTGGAGGGTCGACTCAGAATCGGGGTCGGCCTAGATTTGAGTAAATACAATAGTGTTGTTGCTAAGAAGTTACAAGCACCAGCGTGGCTCTGGTAGAATACTCGACTGCCTTCAAATCTCATCTGACCCTGGATATTTTTTTCTCGTTTCGAAATAATGGTTACAGACACTTGCTCTGGTAGGCGACAAATCTGGCTGTTGTGATCTCATAACAGCTTCTACTATAAAAGGAAGGAGTCAGTGCTTGTCACATGACATTTACACGCTCCCATGCTTTGGCACAGGGTAGAAATGCGAGGAACCTGTGCCACTAGCATGATGTGAGCTAAGGATAACGTGGCTGGCCAAAGCAAAGTGAGAGTGTTTTTCTACTCACCGTGGCTCTTGCCTCCTAGTAGCTTGCCACCTAGTAGTGCTTGCTCCTTTCTTCATTAATCAGAGATTACTCTACAGTGCTCTTAGTCATTGCATCAAACAAGACTTTTCTTTTGCTGTAGGCCCCTGTGCTCAGATTTGGGTGCATGTTAAAGAACCCCGGGTGGTCGAAATTTCCTGGAGCCCTCAATACGGCGTATCTCATAATTATATGGTGGTTTTAGGACGTTAAACTCCACATATCAATCAATCAATTAAGATTTCTTTTCTTTGCACAGTGAATCGATTCGAAGATTGCTAGGGTTGTGGCTTGGGAGAGTTGGTTCATGCTTAAAAGAAGGAAAAACAGCGCGAAATTCAAACATACACAAGACGAAGAAGGAACCACACAGCGCTCGTGTCGTGCCTTCTTTGTCTTGTGTTTTTTAGAATTTCGCACTGTTTTTTCTCTCAATTAAGTGCTTTGAAGAGTACTTTGTTTGGATCATACAGGATCTCTTACATAATCGTGCAGCAGGGTTCTCCTTCAAAGGGGGCGTATCTTCGTCCACAGCGCTTCCCCCTCCCCTCTCCATGATGCCAAAATATAAAGCTGGCGTTACACCCCCCCCTGTTCTCCCTCACAGTGCACATGCCTATGGTCTCTTATACGCTTTCCTAAGATGACTTGAAAAAGGGAAGTCTTTTTCTTCTCAGCCAATGTACTATTGGCGCTCTGCTGCCTCCTTTTGAAAGCTTTCAGCACCTAAGTGCAGTTTCGCTCTGCCTCCAGGCTGGCCCACCTTTGACTAAGCAACATTGTCATGCGATGATGTATTATGAGGATGTCATCACGTGGTAACATTTTGCATCACTTGTGCCGATGCTGCCAGAGGCCAATTTTTCGCGTTTGATGAGGCATCCAAGGCATTTGCCTTGAAACGCCCCTAAACCACCTCTGAAAATACAAAGAAGATAGCGTTATTTTTTCCCGGCATTTCTCATCCTTGCAGCACAGTTCGTGACACCAGCTGTTTGTTCACATGACGTCAGGATAAAGTAAGCTCTTGATTGATTCATACATGGAAGATATCTGTCGTGAATGGTTGCCTACCCTGCTCTGCGATGCAGTCTCATGTCTGGTTTGTTTTGTCTCGCATGACTATCGTGCACGATAAACTGATTTCACTTCATTTTCTGCATTTGTGACTGCTCTAGCGACGGAGATAGCAGTACAAGTAGCAGTAGATAGAAATGTACAAAATCCTGACTGGCTCAATGCTAAGTGCTGAGATCCCATGGTTCCCTAAAGCAATAGGTGGTGAGGAGATACCACTTGTAGGTAGGAAGTACTGTTTCCTCTTTGAACTCGGTGTGGTTTTAAAAAGTCTTTTGGTATTCCTAAGCTTCCCACACAGTGCCTTAAAACTTTTATTGTGTAACGAAAGCTCACAGTCATGCTTAGCTAGGAGCTCTTTAAATTTTCTCATTGACCCGACTGTCAATGTGCAGGGATTCCATGGTGCTGTGTATAGTGAACCCGATGACGAGCATTGTGGCTGGCGTGGTGATATTCTCAGGTGCTGGGCCATCTGGCGCACATAACTGGTCACGATGTTGGTGATGTGTTTCGCTCGGGTAAGTGATAAGTTCTCCCAATTGCAATACTGAAAGTACATGACCACCGACTTTGGTGATCTTGCTTACGAGTGATATGATTTCATTGAAATATCAGAGGGACTTGCTAACCGTTTTTTCTCAACCCAGTTTTTACAGTGCAACAGAAAACTTACCTTTTGTAGTGTGTGTAGCTTCAGTGGTTGATCTCAACAGTACCTACATGGTTATCTTATAAGCAGTATTTTTTTTAATCTAAAAAGCTCCTAAACTGTACATCGACACCCTCCGGGAAAGCTGTGGAACGATAGTGATGCTGGTAGCCCTCCTGGCGTTACGCTCAAGGTTTTGTTTGTGCGGTGGCTGCATTTCTGATGGAGACAGAATGTTGTAAGCCCGTGTGCTCAGATTTGGGTGCACGTTAAACAACCCCAGGTGGTCGAAATTTTCGGAGCCCTCCACTACAGCGTCTCTCATAATCATATGGTGATTTTGAGACGTTAAACCTGACATATCAATCAAGCTTTTGTTTGCACATGAGTGAGAGAAACTGGGGTTAATTACCTTCATATCGACATTTTCGGAGGCTTTAGAATATAAAAGGCTGGTAGAATAAGTTTTCCGTACGCTGGTTTTCACGCGAGGTACTTTTACTGCCCTGCGAGCCAGACGCTTAAGGCCTTCGCAGTTAGTCCTGGCGAGGCGTGCTGGAGCTAATCTCGGAGGTCGCAAGGCACTCATTGTATCAAGTGCACAGCAGGTGCTGCTGTGCACTCGGCTAAGGTGACGCCCCTGTGTTTTTTTTTAAAGCAGCACGAGCTCCTTCTCTCGGCGCTGTTTTCTCCTTACCCATCACTCGCAGCCGCCATTAGCTTGCGAGACTCGCAGGGCACACACGGCCTGCATGCAGCACATGGAAGCGCTTTCCTTGAAATGTGACAACTCTGAACACAGATTCACAAAGCTAGTTGTACGTAATTAATCATGAACTCACCTGGATTTTAGAACATTTTTATATTATCTGTAGCAAAAATGCCTTTTAGATAGTTGGTACCTTAGCTGTCATCTTGCAGTTTGGTAAGCAACCAATCGCATCTCGCGTTTTGTGAGCAACATAATGTAGCAGAAAGAAATTCCATTGTGGCACGGTGGCACCTTATGCGCGAGCATCTTTCTGGACCTGGGACCTCTTTTGGCAAGGTGAAAAACCTAGGATTAGCACATTCTAATTGAGTTCATAAGTGGGAGACGTGTGGCTCGCACCAGTAAAACAAGTGGCAGAGCATGGTAAATGCAATCCTTGGAAGTCTACTGGTGCCATTTTTCTGTTTGGATACCGTGGTGTTTGTTTACTTGACACATTTCGGAAAATTGAGCTACATCATAAACTGCCGTTGACTACTACTCATTTCTAAAGAAAATAGAAAAAAAAAGGAAACAGCAGACTGACAGCATATAACTGAGGCAAAATGGCGTTGCTAGAACACTGTAGGCCTTGCCTAGCCTTGCCCAATGGCGCCGCTGCTGATGCTCACGATAGCAATGGAGGCTTTTGACTTGCGCTGCCCATTGTTGCAAAACTTCAACATTTTTTTCTGCCAACGGTTGGTATATAAGACGAGGGTCTAATTTTTATTGTCTTTTTTTTGTAAATTCGACCTATATTTCGGTTTTTACAGTACAAACAATAATGACAAATGTTTTTTCATGGTTGGCACTGTACTAGACTGCTTTGGGTGAACCATGTGAAAGTGGAACGTACCTTTGAAAAAGATTGCAAATGTGGCTCCAGATCAGTGCTATGGCTCAGTGGCAATAGTTAATTTTTTGGTTGTTCGTATTTTTGGTGAGCTCAAGATTTTGTGATCCCCTGTCAGGTTTACGGTGTATTTGTGTCTGTAAAATGCTAGTGAATGTGAGGTAATATGGGGTAACATGCAACCCAAACAATGGCAAACATTATAAATGGTGTAAGTGAGCACTGTCCAGTCATAGCTGTGGACATGAGCAGTGTCTCCATACCGAGTGCTGCCCTGTAAATGGTGATAGATGGACGGCGCACACTAAATCATTTTCAATGCTTGCCATTGTTCAGGCTTCATTTGATGCTTATAGTACCTATTGCTTTACTGTAAGCAGCCTGTCCGATAAAGTGCATTGCACTCAGTCGCAGAATATGGTAAATATTTCAGGACCGGGCCTCGCATTCCTAGCCTATCCTGAAGTCGTGGCCAAAATGCCAGCGGCACCTGTCTGGTCGGTGCTGTTCTTCGTGATGCTGCTTGTGGTGGGCATCGACAGCCAGGTCAGTTGCACGGAGCGTTTAGGTGCGCTTCCTAAAATTTTAAAATCTGCTCATTTATCTTTGGCAACGTTGTGTGCAGAATGTTGCATACTGTTGAGCTCATTATAAAAGGGATCACTAAAGGTGTCTTTTAGATTCAACATTGCAAACACTTTACCGTATACACTCAGTTAAGAGCCACGCTCGTGTAAAGGCCACTTCCCCCCCAACTTAGCAGCCCAAAATTCGAAAATAAAAAATAAATGAAGATAACATAAAATATCTTGCCTGCAAATGGCACCCATGTCACATCTTGCATACATTCCATTGTGTGGAAGCCACCAGGTGACAATAGCTGTCCTGCAGTTTCGTCATGTGGCACAATCTGTGAGTTTTGGGCGCATGGAACTATTTGGGTGTTCTTGTTGCTTGTCTTGCTTGCCCCATTGGTCCTATGTGCCGCCACTTTTATTTCTGGTTCTGTGCATTTTAAGTAAAGAAAATTATACTTACTCTGTGGCTCATGTATGGCAGCACACTCAACGACCTGTCAAGTGTGGTAGTGCCTTCGTCAAAATGATAATACATATATAACGGCACACTGCACAGTTATTTTAAACTTTGTACATTCATTATGCTGGGGGTTCAGTTTCTACAAAACCCGATGTCTTTTCCTCTTTCATAGTTGACACAACTGGCACTATCATTTTGTGCACAAAGTGCCTCAAATGTTTCACCAAAATTTTCAGTGGGGCCTTTAATCATCACTGCAATTGATTGCACTTGTTATTCTTCACATGTTGTCGTTGTTGAGGTGTATTTGTGTGTTCTTGCAGTTCTGCACAGCCGAGGCCCTCATAGCCGGCCTCATTGACGTGTGGCCTGTGCTTCTTCGAAACCGTCCGCAGGTGACGCTTCTCTTCTGCACCATTCAGTTCCTCTTAGGGCTCAGCATGGTCACCCAGGTGAGAGGCTGTCACCACTCTTTTCTTTAACTGGAAGGAGGTATTGCATAAATCGCTTCGACAAATGCTTTTAGAATTAGCATATAGCTCTTTAATTATCAGTGAAAGGGAGCAAAAGGTGATGCAAGTCGGCTTACTGCTTGCTGTTGAAGTATTTGAGTGCTTCCCTGTTTGTTTGCTTTTTCTATCTCTTACTCTTTTCTGTGTGGCATTTTCCATCCGTAACTAAGGGTGTGGAAATGCCGCTTAAAAATCCGCTATGTGCTCAGCTCGAACTGCGACGAGTTTGTTTTTATTGGAAAACCAAAAAATTTGTGTAAGTCTAGACAGACATATTTTTCCCAGAAGCAAACATTCTGCTTCATTTCTGCATCTTCTAATGAATCATTGTTCTCGATTTCAGGGTGGCATGTATCTATTCCAATTGGTTGACAGCTACGCTGTGTCGGGCATAACGCTGCTGTTTATAGTGTTTTTCCAGAATGTGGCCATTTCCTGGTTTTACGGTGAGTCCTCTTTACACTTTCCACTGGATGCAGTTAAACTCGCACAATGCCCGGGGCCAATATAGAATAATGGTAGGAATCGCAGCCAACAGCGGAAACAATCTTTCTTGGAACCCTTAAACTCTTGATATTTGCCGCATTAAATATTGCCACTATCACCTTTCTCGCAAATATAATGTCGCTGCGTTTTTGCCACAATGCAGCAAGCGCGCATTCGAATGATTTTCCTTGTTGCTCACAGCATATCCTAGAGCATGTCCTTATCATCATCAGCCCGGCTACGCCCACTGCAGGGCAAAGGCTTCTCTCATGTGCGGACCCAATCGACCTGGTCTTGTGCTTTCTGCTTCCACGTTATGCCTGCAAACTTTTAATTTGCAGGTATAAGGGATTAGTGCGGTGTATCTTGGTTGGAGGGGCAAGCTTTAGTGTGGTCTGAGGGGGCAAGTGGCCCTTCTACTGATGCCCATGCTTCACACTGCGATTGTCGGCAGTGATCACAGGTCGGCAAATTCACTAATGAGTTGACTCATTCAGACTCACCCAAAAGATCCATTTTGTTCTCAGGGCTCACTAGACTCAGGCTCACTAAAGTTTCTCTCAACCAGATTCTCTCGAACCCAAACTCATCTAAATATTGCTCATTCGAACACACTCAGACTTATGGCTCGATCTGAGTTGAATTGAGTCTACGTGTGTCAGTTCATGAGCTAGTTTGCCGACCTATGGCATTAATACCTCGATATAGCTGTCAGCAGGCATGAAATGCTTGGTTGGGCTTCGTGTGCTGCTCCTTGCGACATGGGTGATTTCCATTGTTTTTGTAGGCTGTCCTATGGGGATATTCTTTCCGCTACCCCACACATGCATGGCGGACAATTTTTGTTTTTTTTTTTCTTTTCATTTCAGGTTCGAACAAGTTTGCCAGTAACATAAAAGAGATGATTGGCTATGCACCAAACTGGTTCTTTCGTGCTTGCTGGATGGTGTTCGTGCCCTTCTTTTGCATTGTAAGTAGAGAGCAGTGCACGTGTTATGTAAATCGACTGCCAGATAAACAGTGGCAAAATAGCTGTGCCGCATGCATTGGCCTTTTGGCTCAAGAACGATAGTAGAATTTTTGTGTTCCGAGTGGGAACATACACAAAATTAGAGAATCAGTGCTTCAGAATGGGGAGGGAGTAGCACAGTCTTTGCCCCTCCCCCATTTAAGCAGCACCTCTACAGTGAACAAGATCCACTCAGTTTTCATGCAAACTTCTACGAGCACATCGATTTGAAAGCTAATTAAAGGACTCCTTAGATGCTGAAAATGCCACCGGTGTAATTAAGTCTCTTATGTATTTAATTAACTGTGTGTGTGTGTATATATATATATATATACATATATATATATATATATATATATATATATATATATATATATATATATATATATATATATATATATATATATATATATATATATATATATATATATTGCTGATAAAATGTATACCTTTTTTGCATGTACCGTGAGTATTGTAGCAAAACATTTTTTCTTGGGAAGAATATTTCAGAACCCTAGTGAAACCTTTTCAAAGATTGCTGGCTTTTGTTAAACTGTGCCTAGTAGAAAAAAATAACATATAAAATTTGTTATCATGTGTTTAGCTTTAAAATAGCGTGTTACATATTACAGAGGTTCCGCTTAGTTGTCCTACTCGATAATTCGGGAATTTTTTGTTTAATGTCCAGCTAAATATTTACAAAAACAACAAAAATCTTCAAAGTTCACACTTTAAAAAGTAATAAACTGGAGTATTTTCTAAGCAATCTTTATGTTAGTGTCATTTTCTGGAATGTGTACTTTTGTTCAGAAATGCTTAAACATAAAATATATGTCAAATCTCCCCCCCCCCCACTCCTCTAAAAAAAAATGGGAGATCGGAAAAAATGTCGAATTTGTCTCATATTTGACTGCATTTTTTGTGCTGATGTGGTTCAATTAAAGAACTTTGATGCTGCAGCGTTTGATACAACACTTCACTGCTAAGTAAGGGAAAAAAATCTTATGGTAGTATCAGCACATAGTGCTACAGGGCTGTCTGAACAAGTGGTATAGACTGTTTTAAGTTTGCAAGCGTTGCACCCACAAAAACTTCCGGTCATCTTATTCACCAGCTCCTAATGTCGAAACTGAAAGCTAGTTTTTCAAGTTCTTTTCAAGGGTAAAGCAAGTCTCTCATTTTTCACATAAAAAAAGCATGCCTAATGTACAAGGGAATCTTTTATAACTTTTATGTAGCTCAAAAGAACATTTATTTGAATATATTTCACTAAATTAGGGAACGAAATTGTAGAAAATCAGTGGGCTTTTTTCTAAAGCTTGTTGTCCACCGATGCTATTAAGGCACATCGATGGACGAAACTGGATGTCATTGAGGGTCTGTGTTTGTAAGCAGTGAAAGGGTCTATACTAAATAGAAAATGCGCACAACACGTGTTACTTCATTCGGTATGTACGAAACTTACTATGTACTTCACTGCTAAGTAATGAAAAAAAGCTTATGGTAGCATTAGCACAAAATGGTACAGGTCTGTCTGAACAACTGGTATACGAAATAAAAAGTGCACACGTGTGTTAATTTATTCGATACGTAATAAAAGACCACTTTCCCGAAAACCACATTAATATAAAAAAATGCTTATAGAGGAAGTTTGAATTTAAGAAAAAAAATATGAATTTTGAAGACCTATGTTGTTTCTGAAAAGATGTAGCTGGCACATAAACACAACATTTAAGAATTATTAGGTAGGATAACTAAACGGAACCGCACTTGCAGGAACACTGCAGTTTCGAAGCTCAACACACAAAAATAGATTTTATTAGATGCATTTATCTATCAGGCATAGTTTAACTAAAGCAAGTGAACTCCAAGGGGGCGCCACGGTCTCGAAAAGTTTTTTAGCGAGAAACATTTCACCACAATACTTCATGGTAAATACAAAAAAAGGTATAAATATTATCAGCCAAATCTTCAGTGGGCGAGTGCCATGTCTGGGATACTTGACGCGAAATGACCCATATATATCATGCAAAAACAAAAACGTTTTCTACACTCGCTGTCAGAGCTGCGAGCGGCGCTAACACTCCCAGGTTTAAATGCAGAGATATACCCGACAAAGTGTACGGGAGGAATACAATATGCCATAGCTCAATCCGTGGAGCATTAGACGCGTTGTAGTTTCTAGGTCCAAGCCCTGCTGTTGGCGAGTTGTCTTTTGGTGCCTTGTAATATTTTGACATTTTTATCCTAATTACTACAAGCTACATCCTACATGCTTTCTTTGGCTTGACTGTCTGTTGGTTGTGAATAATGTTGCGTCTAATAAAGAAAACAAGCCCTTTAAGTTCCCCTTTTGTTTTGCGAGTGTGCTTATAAACACACAAACACACACGCACCCACATCTAAGAGTACATGCGAGCACTGTACGGGGGGAGGTTCCATAGCAGCACAAGGATGTGCATGTGGTTCTCTATTGCATACTGCAAGCGTATGTGGTCTCCGAAACTGCCATAACTTTTCACCTTGTTGTCCTTGCAGGCCATATTCGTATCGTCCATCATTCAGTACCGGCCACCAAGTGTATGCCAGGACGTACTTCTACCCTTGGTGGGGTGAGCTAAGCGGCTGGTTCATGGCATTAATATCCATGATGATGATTCCCACCTATGCCATCTACTACCTAATCACCACCAAGGGATCTCTTTCCAAGGTGTGCCTTTGAGAATGCACTTGTCTCTTTTCAAGTTTCACTTTGTGGAACAGATGAAAAATTTGTCAACATGGGGTGTCGCTGGGGTAATACACTCAAGCCCCATTATAACAAGGTTGCATCTTACATGAAAGTAAGTTCATTATTCCATCCGAAAATTTGTTTTAAAGGTATATTCCTTACACTGTATAAGGCTATTCTTCGTTTACTTCGTTATAACTGATATTTCGTGATAATCGGGTTTGCTATAGTTCCGCTGTTTGAGTGTACAAGATATATGAGTATGTACACCGAAAAGCAAGAGTTTTGGGGACACGAGGTGTTCGAGAAAGCTACATCGTCGCTTTCTCCGGGGACGCATCCTCCAAATAGTTATGCAAGCCTGTAGTAAGTATGGCAACCTATGCAGCCACGCTGCCTTGAGTCACGTCGCTGGAGCCGATGTTTGGCGTTGTTGAAACCACCCCTATAAAGGATACCCTGTGTTCATGAATTTTTTATCTCTTCGAGCAATTTTCCTCTAAACCTCTGTCTTTTCTTGGATTTCGCAGAATAGACATTCGCTAATAGCAGGCATTTTCGATGCATAGCATTCCAGCCATTTCTTTAGATTTGCTTCTAACATACATGCGATCACTACCAAGAAATCTATGTTTAAAGGGACGCCTAAAGACAAAAACGACCTTTTTTCTTAGTAAATAACGATTTCACAATGATGCCAAAGCCCACTCTTGCTGGGAGAAGACGCTTGGGCAGCGAGAAAACGCACGAAAAAAAAAAAATTGCGGTGGTGACGCATTTTTCCAATTTCCGCGCCAGACGTCGTGACTTATAGATTTTGAAGGTGTATACCAGGTCACACAAAGTTCTAAATTAGTAAAAATTAAGTACACTGTCCTCTGGGAGAGACATACTTAATGTTGCAAGTTTAAGAGAATTTCATTGAGCCAATGTCGCCAAACTAGTATAAAAGATAAGCTTTGAAGTCTGCGACATCACACACGGAAGTTTGTTGCCAAATTTAAAAGTGAAGTTTTAAGCTCGATTTTCTCCTCTGTTAAATGTATGATGGTTAAATTTAGGACATTAGATTTCTCGAAGTACAACTAATAAATGAAAGCCGATTCGTTGCTTCAATTTAGTGTCCCTTTGAGGTGTGTTTTTCATGGCGTTCTCATATATTTTGCATTTCGTTTTGTTTAATTGTTAATATTCAGTATTAAATTAACTAACACTTTTAGTCTGGTATATTGCTGTTTTTCTAAACATACTTTTATTGCTGCTAAAAGAACCTCAACCTTTATTTTCCTGTTTGCTAGTCATAGTATAATAATAAACATATTGCTGCAATTTTAGCGGGCATGAAGTTTATCAAGGGTGCTTTGTCAGTTGCTTTTAGTGTTCCTCTGTAGAGTTTCTTCATTTTGAAGTAAAGAGTGATGGAAGCGCCTCCGCTGCAACAGTGACAGGTCCTGTCAGTTGAACAACATCAAAACTGCGTCTCTCTTCTTTTTTTAAAAAGAGAAACAAGTTCTGGCTACCACTTCACTTATAAAGTGACATAAAGCTTATTTTATCGTTCTTGGTTTTGCAAACGCAGTGAAGGAGCTATAAATCGAAATTCCAAAGACTCAGAATCTCTGCATTTGTCATGCTAGATACAAGTACCATTACCATGAAAAGGCATCAATGCTATATTCAACAGACAGCATGTATAGTGATAATGGGCCACAATCCCTGTTGGGCTGTGATGTACACTTTAGACATTCCACGCCAAAACTATATTGTGGGCCACTTGGTTTAGTCTGAGCAATTGGGTGCCAAAGCATCCATTTGCATAGCTGTATTTGTTACTTGCAGATATTAGTGAGGAAGGTGCTAAACCTACTTTGTTATAGGGAGTGAATTGTTTTATCTATGTTGACTCTATTGAGGTTTGACTGCATTATAATCTTCCCAGCTAGTCAATTGTGTGCTTCACTTTCATCTTTTGTTAAACGTGTACTAATACAAATTTTTGTGGCCAAGATAGCCAGCAAGATCGATGCCTGTGAGCATGCGTACATCATGCACCAAATTTCAACAGCGAATATAGCTTTAAAGGTGTTTTACAGCAATTTTGAAGTTTGAATTTTGAAGGTATTGACACCATCATAAGGGAACCATTGGGGACCCCCTTACTTTCCTCGTGTCTCCACACTGCAGGCAATAAAACAAGTTATGATGATGTCATAGCCGGCATTTTTCTTTTGCCACAATTGTTCCCAGAGTTTATACTTCTCGACAGTTGGACCCAAGTGCGTGGCCGCGGCAAACGTGTTAATAATCCTTAGCGACTCTTCCGTTTTGTTTTTGTATTCGATAGTAATTTTCGATGCAGACCATGTGAAAGTGCATCACAATTCTGTGTGCCGATGTGGTCATGAGCTGCACATGCCAGATGGGGATAGCTGCACCCTGCGTCTTGTCGTTTTTGGAGCTCTCTCAAACCTGTAATTATCTGTCGCATGCTGCAGCAAACAATGTGTCTTGTTGTGACTAACAGGCCCCCAGCAACACATTGCAGCAGAAAAACGCAAGGCCAGAGTTTTTGTGTCAGTATTGCTTTGACTCTGTTAATCGAGTAATTGCATAGTATCACAACCAAAGCTGCATATGGCTTTTCGAAAAAGGTTCACAGTGTATTATAATTTCATAGTGCTAAGCAGTCCGACTTAACAGTGTCACAAAGCTGATAAAGCCGGAAAGGGGTGCACCTAATACCGCAAGGTTTCCTGTATGTACATATTTGATGTTCATGTATTAAACAGTACTTCTATGAGTTAGATATTTGCTGCTTGCTAATCAAGATTGTTTTCTTTGCACTGATGTTTGATTCATTCTGCAACACTCTTTTAAGACTTGGCTTTTGAAAGGCTGATTATATGAACATGTGTTGGTTATGCAATTTCCTATCTATATAACATCTTGGAATTTCATGTGCATTTTGACCCGTGCTAACTGAGCTTTGCAATAACTGCCACTATTATCGTTGTCATCTGCCTTCTTCTCAAGTCACATGTATGGCTTTTGTGAAAATGTTCAAGAGCTGCCTAAATAGTAACGCCCGCAACTTTTTTTTGCCATCTTTTATTCTTGAAATAAACTAGGCACCTCAAAATTATTGTCGTTTAAATACCAGTGACCTTGAACATTACATTTACATTTGCCCAGTTGCACTATTAATCGAGAAGATTGGCACTGTAGCAATCTGTAAAGTAGGTACTATCTTCTGACACTGTCAGAACTTATGGTGGTCCTGAATGAATTTATGAAATGGGCATAAATGTACGTTTTGGTATTGAGAGGTCCTTCAAGACCACTGATAAACTAAAGTATCACAATGGCCTGTGTCAATGCAGTATAGGCAAGTCTGATAGACTTTCTATTTTATCCATAACACTCTTAACCTTCACGAGTGTAATTTCTTTGCTCGAGGGGCAAGGGTCAGGTTCTGTTGAACAGTACATTCCCACTCACTGTAAGCAGCAGTACTAGTTTCGATTAAAGCTTTCTACAAATCGTGGGCATTCCCAATTAATCATGCAATGTGCAAAACATGTTTTGTGAGTGAAAAATTGATCGTGCACTAAGGGATTGTGTTTTTTGTTTGCAAAGGTCGTGCTTCTGAAAGAAAAATGATTTGTTTCATAGTTTCATTTAGGAAAAAAAAAAAAAAGATGAAGTTGAGCTAGTCATGCGTTAATGTCTCAACATGTCACATAGCAATTTGCAAAAGGGAGTGCCATGCAGTCTCACGAAACACATTTGAGAAACAGAAAGAAATCGCTGGGGGCATTACTTTTTTGGTAGCTATCACATATGACAACATTGGTGATGTTACATATGGTGCGATTGGCATGCTGTTTTGCAACCTGTGGTTACAGCAGTGTGATTGTTAGGTTCTTTATTACCGTGTAGTGTTGCATGTTGTGCATGATTCTACAAGCCTTCTCACAATCCCAAAAGTATTGCATCCTTTAACGTTCAGTGCGGAAATTGCTGTTGATTCTTTGTTCAATTCTGTTCTTTTAAGGAAATGTCACAGAAAAAGTTTGTCTTGTTTTAATTTCTCAATTTGATAGCTGTAAGTGCTTGACAGAAGAGGAAGAAAGAATTCAAAAGAAGAAGTACCCAATCAGTACAACCAGTTTGAAAATGTTGAACGAAACGGTTGTATGGCCTTCAGTCAGCACAAAAAGCCGACTTACACACTTCTGCATCATAACTCTTTTTTGAGTGTCAAGAATAACCATCTTTTTCATGTCTGAGGCTGTTCTGTATTCGGGGTGCGTTTAGGATGCAATGCATAAAAGATGCTGTACACAGTTATTCGTGGTGGTGTCGACGAATTGAGGCTTTTGCTGTGAGAAAGTAGTTAAGTCTTACACACAATTGTCGTGTCGATGGATAGCCTGCCTCCATATTCTGTGATTTCCTGGACGTGAGAGTGCCTGCAGTAAAAGGCGCAGAGCATTGAATGAGAGAATTGACAACTGTTTCTGTCGTGGGTTGAAATAGACATAACATTTGTAGAGTTTCTCCAAGAATGCCTTGCCTATTGGAGAAATTGACTGCGTAATGTGTTACAACTAGCTGAGCACATGCAGATTCCTTATGCTTTCACTACTTCACAGCATCCAGTGTTAGTAACCTGTTAGCTGGCACGATAAAAATTGCTCGAACACTTTTTGCTGACAGCAGTGCTTGAACAAGTGGTCTTGCCTTGACGAAGACAACACCATTAGTCGAAACACTGGCTCCAGCGGCAGCCCGTGTTCAAAGATTTTTTGTCACATTGAGCTTCCACTTTCCCCTGAACTTCTCCCTTATTGGTTAACTGCATACAACTTTGTAATCTCTGCTCACAAATGTGTATATTGGTTCCTCTGTTCCTGTTGTGAAGACTGCAATTTTTCTTCTCTCTGCTTGTACTAACAAACACTATCCCATCTCTTTTAGCCACTTCATTTCATGCATAACACCCTTCACGTTGTACTGACAGTAGTGGCTCTCATGTATGCCTTAGGAGCATAACAGCCAGGAGCTTTGCATCTGTATCTTGTCACACAGTCCATAAATCTCAGCCAATAACAGTGTCGAAGTTGAATAGCTGTTTCAGCTGTACTCACTGGTGTTGTAGTGTTACGGAACCATCATGAAGTGTTGTGGGTATTGTGGCACCTTTGTCATGTTCCATAAGTAGGTATTTGCTGGGAATTTGGAGCTGACAGAAAGCTGGAGCTTCGGAGCTCCTTCCCAAATGTTCTATCCGAACGGAGGGGTCATTTTTCTTAGTAACCACCACAATTACTACATTGAAAAGGCTTGTGGCACCATAACTAGTAGTGCGTAATTTCAGAAAAATTGTTGAATGTTGCTTAATTCAAGAAAACTCAGCATGTTAAGGACTCTATAACTTGTCAATTAAGAATATACATCACAAATCTGCAAACTCTGCCCAGTAACTCATCAAATGTAGACTAAATTGGTTGGGCCATACACTGCTATCAAATGAACATGCTATCAATCCAACAGTAGTTCTTTTTGCAAAATCCCTCTAAAAAATGTAGCAACTTCATGTAAGCTGATAATAAGTTTATCACATACGTCCTCTTGAGATGCTCTTGTGGGTACAAGAGGCTGCAATGTATCTTTTATGTACTTAGTTACAAGTTTATAAATGTTAGGATATGAAACATACCTCTTTTCAACAATGTAGAATGAAGACAAATCCTAAATGAGTGTTCTCCTTCTAGAGTATCTAGCATTTAACTTTGTTTCTTATTTGCAATAGCCGCATTTGCAATAGCTGCATGTATTGAACCCACATTAACAAATTATTGTGCATATCTAACAGTTGTGAAATGCCATTGAAATATTTTCAATATATGAAATATTTTCAATTTTATATATCGAAAGACAGTCTTGTGATCCCCTTCAGATTTGATATATCCAAGTTTGACTGTAAAGGTAATTTAAATCAGTATAAAGAATTTCAAAGGCACTTGGCACTTTTATTCTTCACATATATTTGAAAGTGGGGAAGAAGAGTTGATCCCCAAGCTAAAGTTTATTTTGGTATACTTGGCGACGACTTTTCTTGGCATTGAAGCGATTGCTATTGAGCCAAATTGCATAAATGTAGTTCCAGAATAGCGTCCGTATTTTCAATGGGAAACATAAAAGTTCTATGGAGTTGAGGAACATAGAAGTCTACGAAATATGGAGGAATAAAATGGTGTGGCAGGAGTGTGCACAGCTTGCTAAAACAACGTTGCCACTAGCATTGCACTTTGTCCACTGCAGCGACTACAACTGGGTGTAACGTCAACTAAGAAGCCAAATCGTCAAGCCGAAGCGGGACCACTCCTGGATCCTCTGGCAAAGCCAACCCTTATTGCTGACTGATGGGCTACCTCAGCAGCGCAAGCGATTCCTTGTCACGTCTTTGTTGCCTGGCTGCAAGTGCATGACTTTGACCATGACGCGGACAGTCCTCGTTCCCGTCTTCAAGGCCACACCTGGGCTGCTCAAAGCAGACTCGTGTTACCCGAGGTCACCAAGATGAAGCTCATGTGATTCTGTTGCATTTGTGAACAGATTTTTAAAAAGAGATATACTCTGCGTTTTGATATGATATTTTCCGTCCCTGTTGTATGAGAGAATATTTTGCCTATAATATATATAGATAACAATTTTTAAAGTTGTGTTGTTTCTTCCTCGACTAACATGTCTGGCACACTGTTGGCTTTCTTTAGCTTCTGCATGCCTTTATGCACATGTGTGCGAATGAAGGCAAAAAATAAGCCGGTTTCGTTTGAAAGCCAATGCACTGATAGCAGCTGGAACACACTGGACAATCGTGCAAAGTAAGAGTCGTAGTTTTGTTGACCTGGTGCGCGGCAGTAAACATTCGCCTATTAAATTTACAAGCATTGTATGGAGCATGAACAGATCCACCTCTATGTCTGTGAACGCCTGCTGTGGCTATGCTGGTGGGATGTGCAGGGTTGACCACATCTAAGGGGAACACATTATTATTATTCAAGCTGGTAAAACTAGAATGTTTATTTTAGTTCACAAGTGAAATGTACGTTAATTTACGAACTATTGTGGTGGAGATAAACACAACGTTTTTCAGTATTATGTATTCAAGAGAAGTTTCTATGAAGTCTATAATACTAATGATGTGTTCACTTTAGAGGCGAACGACCCTGTACAGCACATACGGTCGTAAAGAAATCAATCACATGAGCTCGCACTTCGATATGACTTCTAAACTTTCAACTGACCTAAATGGTCGACGGTAAATGTGTTGTGGAAAGTATGCTATGCACAGATGAGTCAAATCTTGCAGTATTACATGGCAAAAAAGATATGAAAGCGGGTGCAAAGTTACCATTTTCTGAGACGCCCTCTTTTCATACAGAGGCCGGTGCTCACTCTCTTCGAAGCCATTAAAGCCCAATGTTGGGAGCTACTGGTGCTGACGTCGAACAGCAGATAGCATGCTATTGGCTAATTGCTGACATAAATTGACAGGCATTTGGACCAGATGTGCTTCTTGCCGTGGTGGTGACGCACTGCTAATGACAGTCATAGGCGTGCTCACACGAAGAAGCAAGGGGCGCCCCCCCCCCCTGCCCCCATTCACCTAATAGGGGGGAGGGGTGCAATGTCAACTCCCCCTCCCTGAAGGTGAACCCTGCGCACGATTATAGACAGTAGCCACACTCGCGCTCCAGGATTGATCACGCGTGCTGACGTAACTTCTTTCCTCCGTGTCATCCCCCTCTTCCCGTAAAACATCTCAGTAACTCCGCCCGTTATCAAAGGATCCGACAAACTCTTGCTGCAATCAATTCGTGAGCCAGTGATGACGAGTTCATTAGATGATTATTTGGAAAAGTTCTTCAGGTTGAAACAATAAGCGTACTGTAAGGCAGCGCGTGCAAAACGACCACTTCTCTCGGCTCGCCCAACCTTTGCACCCGCCGTCGATTGCCTGCAAGAGCGCGCGTGGGACGCCTCTGTATTGGGATCGTCCCCGCGCGTGGCTGGGATCAAGGCAGAACTTGCTTAGACAAACAAACAAACAAAGTTGTAAAGCTTGACCGTGATAGCCAAATCATAAGTTTTTTTTTTTTTTAAAGTTCATAGTTCTTTAGAGGTCCGGACTGTCGTACGTTGTCGTCCCATGTCGTTTAGCGTCACGCATGCTGGAGGCGAGGCATGTAGGAATGAAAAACTTCTCCCTTCGTGAGGCGTGGAGTTACCCTCTATTGGATGCACCTCCACTGCGTACGATAGGATAATGTCGACGCGCTCCTCATGAGTTTGGTTGGAAGCGGTCAACAGAAACTCCACGCGGAAGCCCTTCTGGCCATTTCTGCGAATACTTTCGAAACGAGGGAACATTTTTATAGTGATCTTTAACAAAAAGACGGCACATACTTTTTCGCAGGCGCTATCTGTTTGCAGAATGGTGCAGTCAACTTTGTGAAAGGCAGGCAATCCCTAAGGCGAAATGAAACACGTGACATGCACTCTTATATTGCTCTGTCTGTCTGAGTAAATCAGGCATACCAGAGTGAAGCCTGAATTGCGCGATCGCCTGGCCGCAGTATAAGGTCTAAGAATTTCACGCTTGCACTAACGGCGACGACGCTATGTACTCTGGGTAGGCGGCCATTTTCTTTTTTTTTTTTGTCAGAGGCGGTCAGAGAGTGCTGCAGTGCCATCGTAACGATAGTTATAGCACGAGAGCAGAAGGACGACAAAGAGACAAGAAGTACACTCTTTGTCGTCGTTCTGTTCTCGCGCTATAACTATCGTCATATCATACTAACTAGCCCAAACTGCCACACTTCTAAGTGCAGTCGTGTTTGCGAGCGTTGGCGTGTCTTGCAGGCGTGATCGAGTGAGAGCGTGACGCAAATTTAATACCGAAGAGTGTCGTGCACGATGTCAACGTCACTGGAAGACTAGGCCTCAATGCTGTGCCGAAAAGACCTCAAGCGGTACGAAGAAGAGACGAGAATTGGCTGAGTGTAGCCATTCCCGCTTCGTACACAGTCGCCCGCGTGTAAGTGATGTGGACTTGTGGGACGCGCGTCGACAGCTCCGATATTCACGAATTTCTCGTTACGCGGACCAGTTTGATTACCCGGGAGCAGTTGAAGTCGAGAAAGGCGCCCTGGAGGGCCACAACTTCGTGACGAGTGGCTGTGTGTGGAAGCATTGGGTGAAGAAAGCCGCCACCGACACCGTGATCGTCGTCACTTAAGCAAGACGCGCATTTTTTTTTTTTTTTGCCGTGGGTGCTTATGTTTGTTTCTGTCCAGGTTAACCACTCCCAGTACGTTAACAAGTCCCCGTCGGTGTCTTGTTCATGGGCAAGAGTGATGGCGAGGTCTTTGCCGGGCACTGCACACGCATGGCCGGGAACGGCGAAATCTGCTCGCCTCTCACATGTTATTCTACGTGGCGTACGTGCACGCGAAGAGCGCTCCTCAGTTTAACACGTCTTACTTGAGTGACGACGATCACGGTGTCGGCGGCGACTCTCTTCACCCACGGTTCCCACACACAGCCACTCGTCACAAAGTTGTGGCCCTCGAAGGCATTTCTCGGCTTCAACTGATTCCGCGCAATAAAACTCGTTCTCAGAACAAGAAATCCGTGACCATCGGATCTGTCGACGCACGGCCACAAGTACACGTCGCATGGACCCACTCAGCAAATTCTCGCCTCTTCTTCGCACCGCTCAAGGTCTTTGTGGTGTCGCTGTCGGATAGGAAGGAGACGCGGCGCGAAGCGCTTTGTCCCAGAGTCTCACGTAACTCATCAACCCATCATCATCCGTACGTCTGTTCTGGCACTTCCTCCCCACCAGGGTATTTTTGGTACAGCGTTGCAGTGTAGTCCACCAGTGACGCTGACATCGTGCACGACACTACTTAGAGTTGAATTTGCGTTGCACTCGCACTCGATCACGCTTGCAAGCTACGCCAACGCTCGCAAACGTGACTGCGCTGCTGCACTCTCCGGCTGCCTCTGACAAAAAAATGGCTGCCTATCCATAGTCGCCGGCGTTGAGCATCTAAAACTGTGCACTAGTAAGCTCTGTTGTGTGGACGTTTCATTATCATCATTACTCAAATGGGGTCGCTCTAAACGTTTATCGGTGTCGTCAGCAAGCAATGTCAAGCTTCTTTTTATTTTTTTTTTGTCTAGTACTTCTCATTGACTGAAGCTGATACCAACATAAGCATCTGTCGTACCTTCTTTTTCGACACGATTGCCATACGACTCACTTTCCATTTCAGGGAATCCGCTGGTATCTATAATATCAAAACGTGCATAGACCAAAGATTAAAAATGTAGGCTTCGCGACTGCTGTTTTGAAGCACTCCACGAGACGAAACAAGCGGCATCATGCAACGTGAAGGTGAACAACCACCGCTTAACAACGTGCGCTGCACTAGCTCTCCAAGTAGAAGTTAACAGGATGGGCGTAGACTAGCTACTGAATTTACTGAAAACTTAAAACTCCCATTTCTGACAACACATATTTTGAGGATCTTTAATGATTGATTGATTGATATGTGTGGTTTAACGTCCCAAACCCACCATATGCTTATGGGTGACGCCGTAGTGGACAACGTTTCTAGAACTAGGTAAGTTGCAAAACTAAGCCATGTTGCGCGGCGCCACCGCTGCCAGAGACAAATGTGGCGCTGCTGTCGCATTCGGATTCACTCACTGCATGCTCGCTCGTGCCACTCCCGAAACCTGCGTCGGTTGTGCATGTTGCAGTGTGTCGCTATCCGTGGAAGTTTCTTTCCGCGTGAACAGTTTTGTGGTTCAGCGTGCCCTGTTCTGCTTTGTACGTGTTGCGTGTTTTCATCATGCTCACACGTTGCGTTCCCAGCTGTACGAGTGGCTACAGGAAATTTGAGACACGTACCACGACATTTCTTTTGTGCCCCGCGTGTACCTGAGCAGCGAAAGCCACGGGACCACGCTATTCCTCGTGCGGATAAGAAACTGCCCAGCACATCACGTGTGTGTGACGAACACTTTCATAAGGAAGACATCCTGAAGACTTTCACTCACGTCATCAATGGAAATTAACATGGTACAAATCGCCAGAGGAAAGTGGGACCTCGTCGAAGGATGGGTTCCACGGGTATTCCCGAATTTGCCCGCTTACCTATCAAAACCCACGACAAAGAAGTGAAAGCTGCCGGATAGAACTAGGGTACTTTCCAGAATGTCATCGGCGAAAAAGAATAAACTATCGCCGATTACTGAGCTCGAAGACAGTGAAATAAGTCCCGACATGCCGTCAACGAGTGGCGTCAGTTCGCTTCAAGACATTGAAAACGTTTGTTTGCATGCTGCATGCTGGCGGAACGTTGTTGAGAATGGCGAGACAAGACGTCTTGAGGTGTTTCTAGCGTTCAAAGAAGAAAAAAGAGCGCTATTTGAAGATGAATGCGTAGTCGTTGCAGAAGACATGACAGTCACCATTAGCAGTCGTCACCACCGCTTAGCCAAGTCGGCCAGGTATGCAGATACCATAACCCAATTGGCCTAACTTCTGGAGGACATACAAAAGCTGAAAGTGTGTTCATGTTGTCCTAGTGTGTCAGCAAGCACCCTCGTGCGTAATGACTACGAAGTGCTCACCAATAACCC